ATTTTTTTTTTTAACGGCTAGCTAACCAGTCACCCCCAATAGAATAATAAATAATTAATTAACATATAATAATTAAAATGTACACTGCCTTATATCAGTTGAGTAGGCTAAACCAGCAACGCTCTTCTGCATTGCATAAGCGTTAGACCCTAGCGCCGTCCAGTTCAAGTTCTTTTAATTTTTTTTATTATTACTTTTTTAATTTTTTTTTCCTACGAGAGTTCGCAAAACGAGGTCATATCAACCCTCGGGGTGCCGGGTTTTTGAAAAAAAGGCCCATTTCCTAGTATATCGGGTTCGAATGGCTCATAAGAATTACAATTTATACTGCCTTAAATAAGTTGAATAGGCTAAACCAGCAACGCTCTTCTGCATTGCATAAGTGTTGGGTCCTAGCGCCGTCCAGTTCAAGTTCTTTTAATTGTTTTTATTATTACTTTTTAATTTTTTTTCTTTTTTCTACGAGAGTTCGCAAAACGAGGTCATATCAACCGGGTGCCGGGTTTTTGAAAAAAAGGCCCATTTCCTAGTATATCGGGTTCGAATGGCTCATAAGAATTACAATTTATACTGCCTTAAATAAGTTGAATAGGCTAAACCATCAACGCTCTTCTGCATTGCATAAGACGTTGGACCCTAGCGCTAAGGGGCTTAGACGGCAAAAAATCTATTTCCTAAAAAGTGAAATTTTGATAATCCAACTCACTTTTCTTACAGTTTTTGAGCCAGGGAATAACGCTGTAATAATGGTTTTATGGTTAAAAAATGATGAAAACCAGTAATCACTGCTGAAACTTGAAAATCATAAATTTTATAAAATTTTGACCAAGATTTATTTTCGGACGAAGTGCGAAAAGTTGTTGTCTTGTGTAGTAGATATATATTTTATTTATTTTAAACTCAAGTTTTCAATTATTAGTCAAAAATTTATTGAGAAAAACGTGATCAAGCTTCATTCTGGCTATCTCAAAATGGAATTGATGATTTATTTGCAAAAAAGAGATTTTTTCGTGATTATATTCATGATCAGTTTTAAATTTTCTATAAGGGTAGAGGTTTTCAAGATTTGTTCTTATCTTCTTTACTCTTCGTGTGTCAACAATCTATAAATAATTATCAATCCATCTGAGTCAATTTTTTTGCAACTTGGAGCAGTTATTCATCTACCGTCCATAATTTTGAATGGTTTGCTGTGGTCCAATCGATTCGAAAAAAGTTTCATTGGATTCACACAAATTCACACTCCTAAATCTTGACATACTATAAAACTTTATATTTCTTATTTTCTTTGGTTACTTAAATTACTTACTTTGTTTTAGTCACTTTGGGCAGTTTAAAAACACATATTTAGAACTCCCAACAGTCGCCAAACCAAAGCACATTTTGGTGAATTCTTGAAAAAAAATCCACACTCTTATCTCTCCTCAGCCTTAAAAAAATCTATATTCATTATTTTCTTTAATTACTTAGAACTCATAATTAAAGAAAATCCACATTCTTAACTTTACATTGGGTTGTTTATAAAAATATATTTAGAACTCCTAACATTTGCCGACCCTAAGCTCAATTTTACAAATTATCGGAAAAAATTCACACTTAACTCAACATACTATAAAAATTTATATTAATTATTTTATATAGTTACTTAGTTTATTTACTTTTTGAATGAATGAAAAAAACTTTATTTAAAATAATAAAATACATTTATATACTTAAGGAAGTTTAACCAAAATTAAAATAAAAACAGGTCTTTTACAGCATTGATTATTAAACTATATTCTGAAGGTGGCCGGCTGAGAATCACTTGAAAAGAAGATAATATGTACATACAAAGATAATAATAAAAATTAAATTAGATTAAAACTGTTAGTGCTTCTCAATATAAAATTAAAAATCATTATTTGGAGATCGTGAGATGAAGTTGAACTTTTGGAGTTTTATTAAAAATAGGAAACAATCATTGTACAACCCTTGCAGTTTTCAAACATATCATAGTAATGTGATAAGTGAAGTTAAGTTTTTAGTCGAGATAGACTCTAATATACTTGACATTCTTGGCCTGGCGTAGAGGATTTTGACAAAATTATTAATATCAGGTCTCCTTCTGGTAAAAAGTATAGCTTTAGTTTTAACTTTATTTGGACAGATTTCCCATTATTAAAACAATTGAAACATTTACTTGCTCCTTCACTCAAATCTTTAGCTAGTGTCAATTCTGTAGGAGGATTTTATGAATCCGTATCATCAGTGAATACTGCAAGTTCAACTTTATTTTTAATTTTACAAATGTCCGCAATGAATAAGTTAAAAAGTGTAAGGCTGAGGATGGAACCTTGTGGAACACCAGCTGTAATATTTTTCATATTTGAACTTGATTGATCGACATTGACATAAAAATGCCTATTTGTTAAGTAGTTGCCTACGAGATATATGAGATATTTAAGAAAATTGTTTGGTTATAATTTATAGAGTATATAGAGTCTCCAGGGCCAAACGCAGTCGAAAGTTTTTTAACATGTTTATTCTTATTAAAGCTGTCAAAGATCATGTCAGTGATTCAAGCAAGTTGTAAAACTGTAGAATGGTTTTGCCTGAAGTCAAATTGTCAGGGGTGTAAAACGTTGTTTGCATTTGAACATTTGCAAAAGTTAGGATTATTTTTCCAGGTATCTTGGATAGAATGTTTAGCAATGAGATTGGACAGTAATAATAATAATAATAATAATAATAATAATAATAGAAAAATAAAGCATCATTTATATCTCGTCTACATTTCAGAGATTCTAGAGCAACCATATCTCTTAGATTATCATATGTAACAATTTCCAAATTTATTTTCATTTTATAGGCAAGGTATCTTAAAAATTTGTTTTGAAGTCTTTCAATTTTATCAATATATATCCAAAATTTCCAAAATACTTTAGCAGAGATTTTTTTTTTTTTTTTTTTTTTTGGCGTTATGAACTATGCATATTAGCCATGTGACAATTCGTATATGTGTGTTAAAATTGGGGGGGGGGGGGTTATTGTGAAAAAAGGGCCAGAGGCGACGGTTGGGAATCGAACCCACGACCGCGGCGTGAGAATCTCTCATGCTAACCACTCGGCTACCGCGGTCCCCTTAGCAGAGAATTAAAGTCATTAATATTTAAAAAAAAAAAATTGCACATAAACATTGTAAAATAACAAGGAAAACTAGTTACGTTTTACTATTTCATAAAAATGGAGATAGAAAACTTATAACTAAACATAGGCCTATAAGCAAATTATCTGTGATACTTAAGTTATTTGAAAATATAGTTTATAATAAAATAAGTCCATTGTTCAAAAGTATTATTATAGACCAGCAACATGGATTCGTTAAGCATAAGTCCAATTTAACCAATCTACTGTGCTAACAACAGGACATACTTGAAGCATTCAAAGATAATTGCCGAATGGATGTAATCTTTACAGACTAGCAAGGCATTTGACAAAGTAAATCACAAAGTGCTAATCAGTAAACTGGAAGCAGTAGGCTTACATGGTACAATGTTAAAATGGCTTTCTGATTTTCTTAGAAATAGAACATAAATGGTCTCCATAAACAATGTACAATCAGAACCAATAAAAGTATCATCTGGAGTACAACATGGGCATCTCTTTATATTATTTTTATAAATGATATATCTCAGTGTTAGTCTCATTGCAAATTTCAGCTTTTTCCTGATGACTTAAAAATTTATAAAGTCATCAAAACTGCAACGGACTGCGATAAAGTACAGTGTGATATTAATGAACTAGTCAACTGGTGTAATAACCATAACTTTTGGGAAGTGTGCAAGCATAAACATATGGCTTAAAATAATAGTTAAGAAAATAGTGAAGAAATAGTGATAGTACACCCTATTTGTAACAACTTTCAATGTATAGTCCCCATACCTTGGACCGCATATCTTCAGTCTCTGATGAGTTATGATTTTTTAAAAATCTTTGACATTTTGGTGGTATATTACAAGTCCAACCAGAGTCAGGAGTTGTCTTATTTATGATTCTGCTAAATTCTGGGGTAAGCAAGGAGCATCGTGATTCATGATTGGTTTTGTCTTTGTAATCAGTATTCAGATTTGAATAAGTTTTGGGAAGTATTTTATGGTTTAAAATAATAGTTAAGAAAATAATAGTGATAGTACACCCTGTTTGCAACAACTTCCAATGTATAGTTCCTATACCTTGGACTGTATATCTTCAGTCGCTGATGAGTTACAATTTTTTAAAAATCTTTGACTTTTTGGTGGTATATTACAAGTCCATGGTTTTACATCTGGTATACCAGAATCAGGAGTTTTCTTTTTTTATATATATATTACGCAGGGTGGGCGACCAAGACCCGGGGGGGTTAAATGCCTGGGTAGACTCGTACCCCATCCCTAAAGCGTCCGGGACTTGGTCGGTTCACGTGTCCTGCATAAACCTCTTGGACTTGTTCACAAATCCCAAGATTTTGGACCATTTTATCTCGGGGAGTGATTTTGTACATCTTTTTTTATGATTCTGCCAAATTGTGGGGTAAGCAAGCAGCAGCATCATGATTCACGATTGATTTTGTCTTTGTAATCAGCATTCAGATTTGAATAAGTTTTGGGAAGTGTGCAAGCATAAACATATGGTTTAAAATAATAGTGATAGTATACCCTATTTGCAACAACTTCCAATGTATAGTCCCTATACCTTGGACCGTATATCTTCAAACTCTGACAAGTTACAATACTTTAAAAAGATTTGAATTTTTGGTAGTATATTACAAGCCCAAGGTTTTACATCTGGTGTACCAGAGTCAGGAGTTGTCTTTTTTATAATTCTGCCAAATACTGGGGTAAGCAAGCAGCAGCATCATGATTCATGATTGGTTTTGTCTTTGTAATCAGCATTCAGCAGATTTGAAGCAGCATTTTAAAATCAGAGTTTTTCCAATTTTATACAAGAAAACCAGAAAAAGGCAGACATTCATTGACTATTTGACATTCACTGACTGATCACATTCACACCACGACCGTGTGAAGCGCCAATGAGTGTGCATGTGGGCATGTGGGTTCATGCAATTCCGCTAGTCTGTAATCTGTAAGGTTCTGTTTGCTTTATGGTTTATGCTGTGTGGTTGTGACATTTGATTAGCACTGTTTGTTTTTTAAGTTTAGTGCTTTTTAATTTTTATGACACCGAGAATGCCAGAAGTCGAAGACGAGAACGAAGAAAGGACGATCGTCATCAAGGCGAATCCGGCAAGGAAAGTGTTCAGGCCTTTGACAAAGACGTTGAACAAAATCCCAGACGATATATTGAACAATTTCGACCTGAACGAGTCTATAAAGTCCCTCCCGTCGAATTACAACTTCGAAGTGCACAAGACGGTCTGGAGGATAAAGTCCCTCGAGGCGAAAAGGGTCGCCCTGCAGATGCCGGAAGGGCTGCTGCCCTTTTCGACAAGGCTGTGCGACATTATAGAACGATTCACCGAAGCGGACACCGTGATAATGGGCGATGTGACTTACGGCGCTTGCTGCGTCGACGACTACACTGCGACAGCCTTGAACGTAGACCTTCTCGTACATTACGGACACTCTTGCCTTGTACCGGTGGATCGGATGGAAAATATTAAAGTGCTGTATGTATTCGTCGACATCAAAGTTGATGGAGCTCACTTTATCGACACGATCAAACACAACTTTTCAAAAGAAGATAAACTGTGTTTTACAAGCACCGTGCAGTTCATCACTACGTTACACGCAGCGGCTTCTGCTCTTAACAAGGATGGCTATGATATTACGATACCTCAGAGTAAACCGCTGTCAAGGGGTGAAATTCTAGGCTGCACCGCTCCTACGGTGCGAGACGTAGACGTGCTCATATATCTTGGCGATGGGCGTTTTCACCTTGAAGCAGCCATGATCGCCAACCCCAACCTTAGAGCATTCAGGTAGTCCTGATTTGATTTTCTGATTTTATAAATCTTCTTAAACCTGTACGATTGGCAAATGCAATAAATTAAAATTCAAACAAATCTAGATCAGCCTATTATTGCTAGCTGATGATAGCGACAACTGAACCGTGTTGGAGAGACTCAAATTGTTAACATTTTTTTTTACTTGTTTCATCTAGGTATGATCCTTATGAGAAAAAACTAACGGAAGAATGGTACAATCATGCAGCGCTGTACGAAGGAAGACGGTTGGCGATTAATAAATCAAAAGAGTCTTCAGTCTTTGGGTTGATCCTGGGAACCCTAGGTCGTCAAGGAAATCCGAATGTTATGAATAATTTCAAAGTAAGATGTTTCATTTAGTTCAATAACAGATTATTAATTATTCAGAAATCGTGAGATGCGGTCTGGTCACCACGATTCACGATTTCTGAATAATTATCGATTAACAGTCATTAATCACCACACATTTCTGATTTTTAATTTTTTTTATTCTAGTGTCAGCTGGCAAAAAGTGGGAAATCTTTCGTCATCGTCCTTTTATCCGAAATATATCCGGACAAGTTGAAAATGTTCAAGAACGTCGATAGCTGGATTCAAATTGCCTGTCCGAGACTGTCGATAGACTGGGGATCTCAGTTCCCAACGCCGTTGCTGTCGCCGTGGGAAGCGGCTGTCGCTTTGGGACAGACCGAGTGGGACGCGGCTAACAAATCGGGCTTACTCATGGACTTTTACTCGAACGAGAGCCTCGGGCCTTGGACGCCCAACTTCAAAAAAGAGTGCTGCGGAAAAGGATGCAAAAACTGACTTTTTTCCTATGTTCGCCTCACTTGTGAATACTTCAGTAAATAAATTATTGTTGTTATGTTTTTGCTTATAATAATTCAGTGACTTTCATTTGAAGTAGTTTCCTTTATTATCAAAAATGAGAAAGTATTATTATTTATTATTCATTAAGAGCCTGTTGAATTTTCCAGTAACAGGGTGTTGAATTTTCCAGCTGAACGATTGTTCAATATTTGTCAGGATCAGGAGCGAGATAAGAAGGAAGGAGAAAAGAAAAAGAGACCATTGATGCGTGTCCCCTGCTCCTGCACCGACAAATATTGTGAGTGAGTGCTTTGGTCATTTTTCAAATAATTTGTCTTTCAATTCAAAAGGATTAACCTGGACTATGTTACACATGGGCTACCCGGACCTCCCAATAAATATTTATTATTATTATTATTATTTTTTTAAAAATTTTTTTAACCCAAAAATTATAAGTTTAGTTATTTTATTTTATTTTGTTATTTTATTTTATTTTATTTTTTTTTTAATTCCTTGGAGTGCTCCTCATATCTTTTATGATTCTTTCCATAAATCATAACCCTGAAAATATTTAAAAGAAGCTAAATCTGATTATAAGATTTTTTTTTAAGATTCAAAAGAACCATTTTCTTCAATATTCTATTACTAGCTTTCATCAAATTGCAACCATAAAAAATTAATAAACAAACAATTATGAATAATTCTTAATAAAATTTAATAATACAGTAATAGTTTTAAGAAAGTGAATTAATGTTAATATTTTTTTAATATTTATTTTGGGACTGTAAGCGGGTTCTATGTGCTTATCGCTAAGCGACAAGAGAACAGCTGGTCCTGTTGCCAATGGTTTCTTTTCATCGCCACCCTAAACATAGTTCAAGGCAGAATATGATTAGTTGCTTGCCTTTATTAATAATAATAAAAAAAATTGGCAGATGGCTAAGCCCTAAAATGGACAAATGTGAGTATGTATTGCTGGCATATTTATATTCTGCAGTGGCAAGAATCTTGTCCGGGGGGGGGGGTGTCGCTGTTAGCAAAACGCCTGAATCGCGACGTGTCCACTGTACCCCACATCTCCAACCCCTTTCTCTCAAAGTTTGCCATTACCGACCCCTTTACATTCGGATAATTGCAAAAGATATGCAGATGGTCTATTGATCTTTTTGAAATAATGCAGATCCATTTTTTAACATAAAATATCGCAGTCAGACAGCAAGCATTCGTACGATTAATAATTAATTTAATAACATTAATTTATTACGTAATTAGTTAGATAATATTTTCAATAAAGGGTGTAAATGTTTTTTTTCTCTGATTATTCGGAAATCGTGAGATGTCTGGTGTGGTGTGGGTTTCAGAAAAACATTTTCTTTATCGTGCCAACGTTTCGATTATTATTGAGATCATCTTTAGGGCCTGGGATTTACAAACATTGTTTAAATTTAACAAATACATGTAGGATGCGGAAAAAAGTGAATTTATATTAAGTTGGTTGGTGTTCAAGTGGAAAAACACATGTTGAACTTTATCAGGTCCATCTATTCTTGTTGGTTTCTTAACTTACCTAAAAAAAAATTAAATAAACCAGCGAGAATAAACGGACCCCCAGTAAAGTGATTAGTTCCATAAATTCAGCATGAGTTGCTTAAAGTTTCTTCTCTCATGTCATGTTAAATTTTTATATTGCTATACTTTAAATTTTTTATAATGGGTAAGAAATAAAAAGAGTGTAAATTATCAATAAATAAGTTTATTTAAATAGGTACACGGCCTCTTAACTGTCCTGTGTGGCTGTCCTTTATAATCTCCAGTACGCTGCATCACAACAGATTTTGTCATAACTAAAAGTTTTTTCGGAATTTGTGTAATAGATCTCTTACCTCCCCAGGTGTCGGCCCAAGGGTCGTTCCAGCGGTTGGCCCAAGGGTTGCGCCAAGGGTGACCCCACGGACGCAAGTGCCACTTCTTCCATCCGCTCCAGAAAAGTTCCGATCCTTCCAAGTCGTTCTTCTTGTCGTTGACGGCCGGCGGGGCAGCCAAGGCGATCGCGAAGAGCAAAACCAACAGTAAACACTGAAAATCAGGCTTAGAAATAATTTTGTAATAAATATTTAAAAAAACAACAAAAAACTTACGTTCTTAAGCGTAGACATCCTCGAAGAGTCAGCTTACTCGAGTAACTATAATCATTAAGACAACACCTCGGCTTTTATACACAAAAAAGTTTCGAAATTTATTTCGCAAGGACATTAATGACCAGAAGAGTAGTGGTTTGAAAACCCCCCTAAGAAAAGTTAAAAAACAAACCGTTTATTTGTTCAATCAATTCCAAAACATACATCTGCTACACACCAACATAAATCTGACTTATACTGATACATACAAGCAGATGAGAGATTTAAGTTTTAAAAAGATTGACTGAGTACTAATTATTCCAAAAATTGACAAAGAATCAACATTTGAACTGTAAGCAGCCAGTACAATTTACACTCATACTCAACACAGAATTATTTATTTTTAGTTATAGGCAGCCATTATAATATAGAATCTCGTAGTACACATTCACGCTAGTAAATACAAGCAGAGAAGAGACTTAGGTATTAAAAATATTGACCAAGTACAAAAGAAGATCAGATTTCTTTCAAAAATTGGTACAGAATCGACTGGTTTTGATTATTAGGCAGCCAGGAGAATCCATCCTCTCATACTATGCAATCATGCTAACAAATACAAACTTTTGAGAAATTCAGTCTGTTAAAATATTAACTAATTACAGTGATAGATGTGGTAGATATGATTTCTTTTAAAAATTGGTGTGTAATCACCTACCTTTGAGTTTTAGGCAGCCAGTACACTCATACTATGCATTCACGCCAATAAATACAGGCAGAGGAAAAAACTTAGGCTTTTCAAAATATTTGGACCAAATTTTTTTTTGCGATTTTGTACTCCAAACTATCAGACACACATATGCCACTTCTTTGTGAATAGGCCCTGGTTTCGCCCAAAAAAAAAACATTTTTTTTAAAGTTGAAATTTTCTGTTGTTTTTTTTTTTTTTATTTTTATTTCGCTGTTCTACTTGCTCAAATCAACTATGTGAATATATCATTTTACAGCATTTTTTATGAAGACTGCAATAAAAATATAGTAAAAGTTATCCAAATTTATCAATAACAAAAAAATTCTAAAAACTAAATATTTTTCATGTAAACGAGGTAATATTTTTTTCCGTAAAACTAATATGAAATGTTGTTTTAGCACCTCTGGAGACACCGTATAAATTTTTGTTTGAATTTAAATTTATAGATTTTTTGACCCCTAAAATTTTTCCTATTTTTGAGCAGTCATTATCAGAATATCTGATTGAAATGTCTATAATTCAAAAACGGCTAAAAGTATTTTAATGTCAAAGGGACCATTTGAAAGAAGAGGCACGTAGGAATGTGTAGGAATATCTATCCATAAAAATAGATAAAATATTTCTATAAGAAAATAGGAATATAATTTATCAGAAATTAACCTCGTTTTTTAAATAGAAATTACAGACCAATTTTAATCTTTGATACAGTTATAAAATGCAGTTGAAAATTTCTTTAAAACGAATTACAAACATGAAAATCAATCCACTAGCTTTCGAGAAAAATCATGTTAGAGCTTGGACTAGGAAAGTCAGACACACAGGTCGACAAAATTATCAGTCAAAATATTAATTTACACCGATTTCCGTGAAAGTCGGTATCTAAGGGTTGTAATGCTAGAAACTCATTAATCATGTCAAATCCAAGTTTTGACTATTTTCTGACATACTTTGCCTTCAGAATGTTTGTTAAAATATAAAAAAGTACTATTTTGTTGATTTTTGTTTTTAAATCATACTAAATTAAAATATTCTGCGTCGTAGATGTTAACCACTAATGAAATTAATACACCAAAAATAATATTTTTTAAATCTCTAAATAACAGTTTATGCTCTGGGATTGTAACTGCGACTAAAATTAGATTTTTAAAAAACTTCATTAACCCAATCAATTAAGAAGTCCCTGAAGTCTATTTGTAATGGGCGAGTTGTTATTTGAAAAGTGTGGGTATTTAGGTAATTACTTAGGCTCATTTGTCAACAAAGGCTTAGCTTTGTTAGCAAGCAAAGGCCAAAAGTTATTTCTGATTCTGATTAGTGCAGTTCAGTAATATTACGTATATCCAACAATAAAAATATCCATGTGAAATTCTTCAAAAAAAAAAAAAAAAAAAAAAAAAAAAAAGTCGAAACTTGGACTGTCATGATTTTAGCGTAATAAAACCATTATATACCCGCTGTCTTGCCAGGAAAGAAAATTCAGGGAAGTAACCATTTATTTTTATTGCGTTTATCATTTACATCTTCTCCTAATTGATCTCTTCCTAAGATTCTTTTACTACAGTTGACTTAATTAGTTATTTATTTACCTTTAATTTTTTATCATTGCTTAATTTAATATTTTTAATTCTAATTATAATATTTTACATTTTGTTCATTTGCTTTTTACCTTTTATTAATTAATTTTTCTAAATTTATTATAATGGACATTGACCAACAAAACTCTCCAGCATATATTCAACAAAATTCAAATACATTAATTTTGAAATAGGAGAGGCCAAATATAATTCTGGTTGAATGAATTTATTTATTTACATTGTATAAATTAAAAATGATTAAACAATTATAAATATAAAGTAAATTTAATTAAATGAGCATAAATCGTTATTTAGAGGTAAAAAAAATTTTTTTGGTTAACATAAAAAGAAAAATATTTTACGTATTGGGATATTCTAATTTGATATGATTTAAAAAGATAAATCAACAAAATTCCGTTTTTTTAACAAACATTCTGTAAGCAAAGTAGGCCAGAAAATGATCAAAACTTGGATTTGACCTCATTGTCGTGATTAATTTTAATTATTGCATTTTACATTTTAATCCATCAATGTTCAGTGGTCTAATTGACCATACTAATTATTTCAATTAATTATTCTTTTTATTTAAGGTTTGGTCGAGATGAAAAAGTTAACGTCATGAGCGGAATTCAAACCCAAGACCTTCGGTGATGTGGGTTCGAATCCCACTCGTGACGCTAAAATTTTCATCTCAATCAAGACCGTACATATAAAAGAATGATTAATTTAAATTTTACATTTTTTTCATTTGCTTTTTAGCCTTTATTAATTAATTTGTTTAAATTAATTATAATGGATTTTGTTCAGAAAAAATCTCCAGCACACTCTCAACAAAATTCATATTCAATTGAAACAGGAGGGGTAATATAATTCTGGTTGAGTGAATTTATTTATTTTTGTATATTGTATAAATGATAATATTAATAAAAATTATAAATATAAAGTAAATGTAATTAAATGAGCATAAATCGTTATTTAAAGTTAAAAAATACATCATGTTTTAGTGTATTAATTTCATTGTTGGTGAACATAAAAAGAAAAATATTTTACGACCCAGAATATTCTAATTTGGTATGATTTAAAAAGATAAATCAACAAAATTCTGTTTTTTTGTGTGCATATTTTAACATTCTTTAAGCAAAGTAGGCCAGAAAATGGCCAAAACTCAGATCACATATTTACAGTGGCAACAAAACTTTCACCACTGTGTAAATCATGTTTGATTTATAATACTTTTTTCCCCCCGAATCTTTCTCTTTTTTACAGTTTTATCAGGTGTGTGTTTTTTTAATTTACTTTATCCCTAAATGATAAGGAACTTTTATAATAACGATTATGTAACTGTAGTCGAAGTCTTTATAAACAAGGAAGACCCCACTTTCAACCTTCAATGCCCCACCATAGGAAAATAGTCGTTTTATTGTAGCCGACACCACTCAGCATTTTTACAATCAGCAACCAGCAACAGTTGCAGCCGGAAATTCATTCGATCGAGTCGACATGTCAGGAGGTTCGTGTTTTCAACCACTTCCGGTTCACCCCTTCCTTAATATCCCCTAAACATCCCTCATCCCCTCTGAGGACCCTATGCGTTATATATATTTTGACTTGCGGAAACCCAAACAACTAAACTGAGAGGCAAAAAAAAGCGGTCACCCTTAATTATTTTTATTACTTTTTAAGGGATTTTTAACGGCTAACGTCATTTCGCGCCCTAACAAATCCCTTCTGAGTGCTATACGCCCTGAATCCAAATTTACACTCATAATCTAATCTATTGCCATCCAAAGCTTTAATATTTCCTTTTAAAATTCTTAATTTGGAAGGCCAAATGCCAAAAAAAAAATTAAAATTATAAGCTTTATTCCTATTCTTTAATTAGAATTTCGAATTTTGGTTCCATAAATAATTAAATTAATCCGCATTTGCTTCGTTGTCATAATTGACCATATTATTTATTTAACGAGGGTTTGTAACAGGTGCCTCAGGGTGCCGGTGTTTTTGAAAAAAAAGCCCATTTGTAAGCATGTCGGGTATGAATGCAGGGCCGCTGGATTCGAACCCGGGACCTTTACCTTACAGTGGTGAGTGCCATGTCAATGCCTAAACCGTTGCGCCCACCGACGCCCCTCATATAAATTATTCCGATTAATTATTCTTTTTTCTAAGGTTTTTGGCTGAAATATAATTAATAATTAATTGGAATAATAATTCTTCTTTTTTTTCTTCCATTAAAATACTATAAATACACTAATGCTACTTAACAACAATATTAAAACAAAAAACACAATAACACTTTTTTTCTTTATCATCATTATTAATATTATTATTTAAGGCTAATTAATTAATTATATTTATTTTAATTATTATTATAAATTAATTTTTTTAATGGCTAAGGTAAATTTTTTTACAGGCTGACTATTTTTAATTTTCTCTTAGACAATCCTTCAATTGATTCTTACCATATTTGGTCCGTTTTAAAGGATTAGAAATAAATATTTAAAAATCAATCAATTTAAAAAATTTCCCATAGGTTGTATGGCTGATAATAATTAAATTAATCCATATTTGCTTAGCGGTCATAATTGACCTTATTAATTATTCTTTTTGTCTTTTAAAATGCTAAATTTGGAAGGCCAAATCTATGCAAAAATTTTTTTAAATTATAAAATTTATTCCTATACTACAGTTAGAATTTCGAATTTTTATTCCATAATTTAAACATTTTCCATAGGCTTGTACGGCCAATAATAATTAAATTAATCCATATTTGCTTAGCGGTCATAATTGACTATATTAATTATTCTTTTTATTAAATGACTAAGGTCATTTTACAACTATTTTTAATTTTCTCTTAGACAATCCTCCATTGATTCTTACCATATCTGGTCTATTTTAAAGGATTAGAAATAAATAAACCACATATAAAATCTCCCACTTGTGGTTACAATTCGATTTTGTAAATAAATCATTGAATAGACAATCTCTTCTTTGTTGGCTTTTCTGTAAAGCTTATTCATAACATTCCGTTGGTTTCATTTTTTTTTTTTTAAAGTTGTACCATTTAAGTTTATGTACCATTTAAGTTAGTTTTTACCATTTTAAGTTTCAAATTGTTTGAGTGATGGTTTCAAGCGATACAGATTTGGCTAGAATAGTAGTGTTGGAAGATGGAAGAATTCGAGCATTTGTGGCCAGGGTGCTTAACATTTCCCAGGACAACTGTCCAAACTGTCTTCCATCACTATGAAGATACTAGAGATACTAGAAGATCAAGGAGACGTGGATCAGGTCACCATCGTGTCACATCTCGGAAACATGATTGTTTTATTGTTTTGAATTTACTCCATAACCAATATTCTTCTGTAGAGATCAAGCAGACTTCAGCAAGTTAGAAATGTTAATATCAGTTAACGCACTGCAAGCTGAAGACTTTCAGAAGCTGGGTTAAGTGCAAGAAGGCCTGCTACTGGTACAGAACTTCTGACAAGGCACAGATCAGCTCGGTTAAGTTTTGTAAAAAATTGGTCTGAGCAAAATTGGAGAATCTAGGTTTTGTTTGAGGTCTTAATAAAAGTTACCTTACGTACCCCGTATTTTTCAAGGTAAATGTAAAAAGCAGAATTTTTTAAATTATCTTATTTAATGTACCTGCTGAGTCGATTGGAACAAAAATTAAATTAGTAAACCCTGTAGTTTTCAAGATAAATGAAAAAAAAATTATTGTCTTATTCGATGTAAAATGACCTGCTGAGTCAATTGGAACAGGAAGTCTTTTTTGTTTAGTTTTTCGCATTTATCTCAAAATTTATGGTGTGTATGAGCTTAATTCTCATTCCAATCAACCCAGCAGGACATTGCCTTTGAATAAAACAATAAACAATTTTATCTTAGTGTGCTTTACCTTTTTTTTATCAGTTTGTCTTTCTGTGTAAACTGATATATTTACCCCATCATAACCATTTTAATTAGTCTTTGATGGGCTTTACAGTAGAAGAACTTCTGAAAAAAAATATGCTAAGAAAGTTTTCAACAAGAACGGTAATAGGATGACACGCTTTAATTGGTTTCACATGACTGTGCAAAAAACAAGGACACAATTTTCTGGATGAGTGAATGTGAAATACAAAACTTTGGTAATAAAACGTAAGACCTTAAAATATTCTCAAGTGTAATGACACGGCAAGCAATAATTAACTTTAATGTCTTGTTCTTGTATTTATTTTACAATAAAAAAAAAGAAGTTCTTTCTGATGTGACTCAGAAGTGTAACATATAATGAACTTTAAATGTTCAAATTAAGATAAAGAAAAAATAACGCATAAAAATTCGAGATTGTAAACCAATGATTATTAGGAATTTATTAAGTTAACTAAGAAATAATTGATATTTTTGTTTAAATCAGGCAAGAAAACTATTTAAAAAATTGAATAATTCAGATGTGTCATTCTAATAATCCGTAGACTCAAAACTGTAGATGCCTGACTGGATCTGAGATAATAAAAACGTATAATAACAATTTTTGATATGGTTTGAGGAACATGTAATAACTTTATTAACTAATCTTATTTCAATCCATTTATAAATTTCTTTTCATATCGTTATAGTTTGCCTATCTTCACTGTTTTGATCGGTCTGTTTTTCCATATTTGCAGTCTGCTATTTCTCTGTTTGTCTGTCTCCATAACATCCATTCCATCATTCCATAGTGTTATTTATTTATCTACTATATATCTACATATCTGTATTATTTTATTTTTTTGGGTCCTTTCATTTCTCATTTAACTATTTGTTCACGTTCTGTTTCTTCATTTCATATTTTGCCATTCTGTTAATTACGCTTATCTTTCTGTTACTCTTTTTACTCTTTTCTTTGCTTTACCTTAGCAAGCCTCTTTATTTATGATTGCCTTTCTGTGTGATTATTTGTTTTCTTTAGTTTCATATTTATCTATTTTTCTCTTGTACGTATGACTGTTTCCTATTTTGCCTTCTTGTCATTTTTTTCAGTTCATCTTAGTGTAAACAAAGATTGTCTTTCTATATATTTATTTTTAAATCTTTCAGTTTCTCATTTATATATTTTGCTGCTAGTGTCTCTTCATGTCATATTTTTCCTTCCTGTCAATTTTGCTTCGGTCATTTCTGTTTGTTTACTCCTCCTCGCCTGAGTTAATATCTACGTGTCTTCATATTTATCACTCTCATTATATTTATCATCATATAATATTTATTTAGTTTTTTTTTTATCTTTTAGATTTTATTTATTAATTTGTTCACTAGTGTGTCCAATTATTTTCTATTTCGCCTTCCAGTCTGTTTTGAAATGTTATCTTTCTGTGCATTTACTTTCTTCTCTGCTTTATCATCTTAGTGTGCCTCTTTATTTATCTATTTGACTATTTGAGTGTTCACTTTATGATCTTTTAGTTTCTCATTTATCTATGTTTGCTACTGTGTCTCTTCTTGGTTTCCTGTCAATTTTCTTTTTTTTTAATCTCTTGGTATGCCGTCTCCTCCTCCTGAGTTAATATCTATGTGTTTTTTAATTATCTGATTTTCTTCCTGTGTTATTTTGGTCTTTTAGGTTTTTATTTATTCATTTGTATTCCTCTTCATTTCATATTTTACCTTCCTGTCTATTTTGCTAATGTTTCTTTCTGTGCACTTACTTTTTCTCTGCTTTATTATCTTAGTGCCTCTTCATTTATTATATTGGCTTTCTGTTTATTTTTTTTTTCGATATTTCAGTTTCTCATTTATCTATTTGTTCATTTATGTGTCTTTTCATTTCATAGTTTCCTTTAGTTCCAAATTAAATTGAGATCCCATTTTCAATGCTCCATGTTAATGGTTAATCATCTGAAAATTTAATTTGCTTTGTCTTCAACTTAGTGACGATGAATGAATTCAATGAAGATTAAAATTTCTCACCCTGCCCTGCCTTGATTTTTTTCATACGATTAAACTCGCTTTTAAATCTTGCGATTCAGCCTACAACAAATGGAAATTCACCAAGGATCCATTGAACCTCCTAGGTTTAAAATTTTAAGAAATAAAGTGAGAAATTTAGTTTGCAAAACACAGAAAATGACTTTTCATAAACTAATCGATCATAATTTACCTGTCACATTGGAACATTAGAAAACTTGGTCTTAAAAACAAAGTTGACAGTTCTCATTCATGCCCTGATGTTAATTAATTAAACTCGTTTTTTCCTTCCACGTCCTCTTCCCTCTTCCTGGATATAAAACTCCATTTCTACCATCTAGATCGCCGAAAATTGTCCTTTAATTTTCCAAATATTACTCATGAAAATGTTTTAGAAGCCATCCATACAATTAAATCTAATGATACAGGTTCTGATCTTATGTCTATTAAACTCATAATTTTTCCCTTCATGTTACTTGTGTTATCTAGTTTTTCTTGTGTGTCCATTTGTTTCCTAATTTTTTAAAAATACATAACCCACATTTTGAACTTCTCTTTCGCCTCACCCTGTTTTCATTTCGCCTGGAAGGAAGCCCTAATAGTTATTATTATTGCTGTATTATGTTTATAAAACTTAATTAGTTTCTAATGTAAGTTTGTATAAGGGGACTTAAAGCCCTATTTGTACCTTTAAAATAAATATTTTGTCTTCATGCCAATTTTTATTATTTATATTTGTTTACTCTACAACAGTTTATATGTCAGTGTGTCTTTAATAATCAACTTTTTTTTGCTCTCTATTAGTTTATCTATTTATTTGCTTGTACGCCTCTTCATTTCATATTTTGCTAATTGTCAATTTTGTTCAGTTTATTTTTCTGCACTTTTACTTCTTTTTTCTCTGCTTTAATTTTCTTAGAGTGGCTTTTTATTTATCATATTGTTTTTCGGTGTGTTTTTTTGGTTTTGTTTAGAAACTTATTTATCTTTTTTTTCCTGTGTTTCCAACTGCTTCTGATTTTGCCTTTCTGTCATTTTTTTCCTGTTTATCATTTTATAAATTAACTTTTTCTCTTCTTACTGTAACTTTTTATTTATCAGTATCTTTTAGAGTGTTTATTTGCTTTCTTTTAAGTTCTTGTCTGTATTTCTTTCTGTGTCCGCCTGGTTTCTCTTTTGCCTTTCTCTCAATTTTCCTCAGTTTATTTTTTTGTAAATTTACTTTTTTGTTTGCTTTAATATCTTACATTGCTTATTTATCAGATAGTCTTTTGGAGTGTTTGTTTTCTTTTTAGGTTCTTATCTAGTTTTTCTTTTGTGTCCATTTGTTTCCTGTTCTGTCCATTATTTATATTTATTTATTAATTTAACTTCCTTTAGTATCTTACTGATCTATTTATTCACGTGTGTATCTCTACATGTACTAATTTGCTTGGTTTATCTTTTTGTATGTTTGCATTTTTTTCTCTTAGTATCTTTCTTTTTATTTACTTCATGCCGCATTTTCTCTTAATATCTTCACCGTGTCTTTTTGTTTACTTTTTCTTGTTTATTTCGAATTTTTCCAATATTTAGTTAAGATGTTAAAGATTATCTTAAGAAATGTCTGTTTAAGATTGCAAATGCGGGCCTGGATATCCGAATCCGTTATCGGCGATGAAGGGGCCGAGGGAGAAACTCCTGTACGTAATTTGTGTCCAGCCGAACGGCAAATTGACAAACAAACCCGATTACCTTGCGACCGTCGATGTCGACCCTTCGAGCGATAATTTCTGCAAGGTTGTTTATACTAAAAAACCCAACAATTTGTTTTAATATATAAAACTGCAGGTCATATATAGAACGATGTGTAAACACGCTGGAGACGAGCTTCATCACTTCGGCTGGAACTCTTGCAGCAGCTGTCATGGCGATCCATCAAAAAAACGGAATAAGCTTATCCTGCCTTGCCTAAACAGCGATCGGATTTACGTTTTGGACACCTCTAACCCAAAGCAACCACAAATTCACAAAGTAAAAAAAAATTATATTTTTATTTCGTTTTGGTTTATTGATTTGTTTTTAGGTAATTGAGCCGGAAGAAGTGCACAAACACAATGTTGGGACTCCTCATACGAGCCACTGCTTGGCATCGGGTGAAGTGATGATATCGACGATGGGAGATCCAAAAGGCGAGCCAAAAGGAGAATTTCTACTTCTTGATTCGGATACGTGGATGATCAAAGGGCTTTGGACGAAAGGGGACAAATTCGCTAAATTCGGCTACGATTTCTGGTACCAGCCTTATTTCGACGTTATGATCTCAAGCGAATGGGCAGCTCCAAAATCGACAGGAAAAGGATTCTCAAACGATGATATAAACGACAAGAGTGAGTTTTTTCTCCACCCTCTGGTTATAAAAATTGATCAATGTCGGTATTTTAAGGTTTAACTGGAAGGTGTTTGAACGTGTTCTCTTGGTCGGAGCAGAAGTTCCTTCAGACGATAGATTTGGGAGACGAGGGCATAACGCCACTCGAAATTCGATTCTTGCACAACCCCAAGGAAGCTCAAGGCTATGTCTGCTGCGCCTTCAGTTCCAATGTTTTCAGGTAATCGTTTCGACTCTGTTCGTCCACTTCATGTTCCTATCATCTGTTATTTTAGATTTTTCCAAACTAACGGCACCTGGAAAGCTGAAAAAGTCATAGACATACCGAATAAGAAAGTCAAGGGATGGGCCATGCCAGAAATGCCAGGTAAACAAAGCAAATATACATATTTCATATAGACGGGAGTATAAAGATCTAGAAGAGGTCAAACAAAATAAAATTAATTTTGCCAACCTTTGAAAATAAGCTTTCTACTCCCATCTTTAATTTGCTCACTCTTCTCATTAATTAACATTTCATAATTTAAATTAACCCAGTAATATTTAAACATAAAAATTAAACGTTAATCACTAAATAGACGTAAATTTTTAGGAATGATAACAGATTTGCTTTTATCTCTTGACGATAAATTTCTTTACATGAGCAATTGGTTGCACGGGGACGTCAGACAGTATGACATTACAGATCGGTCCCGACCGAAACTCGTCGGTCAGATATTTTTGGGCGGATCCATAACAAAAACGGGACCGGTTGAAGTCGTCGAAGACGAAGAGCTGACTGTATGCAAAGGCCAAGGCGAATCGTGGACAGATCGTTGATGGATTTCTCTTTCAGGAACAACCTCCGGAAAGGATAGTGAAAGGGACGAAGGTCTATGGAGGAGCGCAGATGCTCCAACTCAGTCTCGACGGGAAAAGGCTCTACGCCACTACTTCTTTGTACTCGGTCTGGGACAGGCAATTTTACCCTGATATGGCAAAGTGTGTAAACAGTAATTCGTGCATGTGATTTCAATAATTAAAAACAGAGAAAGATGCATTGAGAGTGGTAGAGAGAGACAGCTAGAGACAGAGGCCAATATAGATAGACAGATAGGTTAGGTCTGTGCTGCTTTTGACAGAGTAAATAGAAAAAGTTTAATCCTAAAATTATACAATTTGGGTATTTCATCTAAATTTATAAAAGTTATACAGGCATTCTGCACAAATTCAGTCGGCAGTTTATGGTAGAGAAGGCATAACAGATTGGTTTAACTTCTGGGTAAAACAAGGCTGTGTACTTAGCCCAGTCCTATTTGCACTCTTTCTAGACAATTTGCCTGATATGTTGGAAAATCGGTGGAACAGCAATCAAGATTTTGATGCTGATGACATTTTCTCATCTCGGATAACGCCGTCAGCCTTTAAAGAAATGTTTAATTTTTTGAGCATGAATTTGGTTAATATGGCAAATTCTAAAATAATTGTGTTCAAGAAGGGAGGCAGGCATGCTGTTAGGGACCGGTGGATCTTTAACAAAAACTACACCGAAATTGTTCACGAGCATAAGTATCTGGGTGTTTTGTCTTTGTGTTTGTCACTGCTTCATCAAATTATAGAAAAGTATCCACAACAAAACTGGCTCTGATTTCAGCATTTGGCATGATTTTATTTCACAGATTAAAACAATTTATTCAATATGCCACTTGATCCTCTGTTATGCTGCTCACATAGGGGCTATAAAAGGTTTAGGCATCATAATTACATGTTATATTTAGAGACCGAACTAGGCCAGATGTACTCATTTACATTGCAGCTCCATTTCAATTTCATATAAAAAATAATTAAACTCCCAGATTATCACTTGCCAAAAATAGTTGCCCTTGAAATCATTAATTGTAGTGTACTCTGGTTTACAATGTGGAATGACTTCTCTAAGCTGTCATGTGAACTCTTCTCGCCACATAATATAACCAATTGGCCCACTATTTATTAAAATTTGTTTCTGAACTCCAGGAAAGAGTCTCGTCTACTTCACGTTTCTTATTTTACAGACAGTTAGATAGCAGCTCGGGTATGTTTAGCTTAATTACAGACAATTCAAGGTTTGTCTTTGGGTGAACTTTGCTGGCTTTTCAAGATCAGTGGTGATCTTTTATATCTGAATGATGGCCCCTTTTGGACTCTGGAAAATGAACGGTGTCCTCTACGCAAGTCAGGTGTTAGGGAAGATGTTCATTTTTTGGCCGAATCCACCATTTTGTCAGAGATCCGCTGTTTACACTTGAATTATTCTGAAATGGCAAAAGACCAGCTTAATGTTCTATTTAGTATAAGTTTAGGAATTTAATTAAATATGCTCGACACGCCAGGCACTACTGGCTTGAATTAGTAGTGGATTCAATTGCTTATCTTTTATCTTCATTGTTTTCTTTAAATTTTGTTTTCCTTGTTAGTAGTTCTTACTTTTTCCTTTAATTGTTAAAAAAAAGGCACTATTGCTTCTTTACATTATCCACCGACCTCCGGCAGAGAGATTTTCTTTTTCCATGCTGTATAACACTTTCTTTTTCTCATTTAATTGTTACGTACTATACAAATAGTAAAGTATATTATTATTATTATAGATATATAGGTAGATAGACAGATGGATAGATAGATATATAGATAGACAGACAGATAAATAGATCAATCAATAGAGAGTGAGAGGGAGGGGGAGGGGAGGGGAGAGAGAGAGAGAGAGAGAGAGAGAGAGAGAGAGAGAGAGAGAGAGAGAGTATGTTACTATTGATCGCTGAATGTATAATCATATTTAACACTATTTTGCTCTTGTCAGGAACGGCTCTTGTTTACTCTTAATGAACGTTGACACGGACCGAGGCGGATTGACGTTGGACGAGGGATTTTTGGTCGACTTCGGGAAAGAGCCCGACGGCCCCGTTCTTGCGCATGAATGCAGGCATGTCGGACGCCAGTGTCAGCCAATGTTTTCTTAAATGCAGAATTTTATTTTGATTATCTTTTCCAGATACCCCGGCGGAGACTGTACGTCCGATATTTGGCTTGCGGAAGATTTAGGGTTAAAAGAATAAGAAACTGTACATCAACCACCCCGAATACTGTAAATTGCAATTAATTAAGATAATCAATTTTTTATTGGCAAAAATATATCATATTCAATAAAATTAAACATTTTTTTCAGCTTGATAATAATAATATTGTTTAATAATAATAATAATTGTCACCCTGTTGATCTACCCAAATGTTTTATTTTTTGACTATCACTACATTGGTTTATTTCTTTTTATTATCTTAGTATCTTAATTTACAGTAATTCTTAACTACCTTATGTATGTTTGTTTTATCAGTTTCTTATTTATCTGTTCTTGCTGTTCTGGTCAATCTTTTATATACGTCTGACTTTTTACCTCGAAGACTGATTGTTTTTCTGTTCATTTGTTTCCATTTTTTAAAAAATCATACGTACTGTTAGTTTCTTTTATTAGCATTGAGTCTATTACTGATTTATATAAGTTCAAATCAACAGTATGCTCACATTTACAGAGTTGAGATTATCACTTCTCGTAGTCCACCAGCAATTTCAGCTTTTATAATTTACGATAAATTACCTACATGGCTCAAGAATCATCCATCTTGGGGTCAGATCTCGGTATTATACATCCGATCAAATCCATCCATCACACGCTCACTTACCCTTAAATACATTCCTTTCTTATTTACATAACGTTCATTCAATTAGGGTGATGGAGTATTGAATATTTTTTCTCTGCTTTAATATCTTAGTGTGCCTTTTTATTTAGCAGATTTATTTATCTAAGGTTTTTTTCATTTATGTATTCATTGGCTTGTGTCTCTTCCATTCATATTTTGCCTTTCTATCAATATTGCTTTATCACCATTTGCTTACCCCTCTCCCCTGAGTTGATATCTACATGATTTTTTATTTGTTTCTTAAAAGTTTTTATTTATGAATTTGTCACTTGTATGCCCATTTATTTCTTATTTCGCCTTCCTGTCTATTTTTCTGTTTATCTTTCTGTAATTCTTTTTTTGCTTTAATATCTGTGCTTTTTTATTTATCAGATTGTCTTTTTATTTGATTTTCTTTATGTTTCTTATTTATCTATTTGCTCGCTTGAGTTTTTATTTTGTTTTCTTCTATTTTGTTCTCTTCCTTGTGTCCAATCGATTTGCTTTGTTTTATCTTTCTTTATGTTTAACTTTAATTTTGATCATATATAACAAACTCAGGCTCATCTACCACAGAAGCCATGACAAAAACTGAGTTTTTTACATTATGGAGGATTCAAGTAGATTTAAATACAAGACAAGCTTTTTTTAAATATATGTTTATGCTACAGTTTTATCTTGGATTTCTTTATAGTTTATAAGAAATTATTTTTAAAAATGTACAATTAATATACATAATATATACAATTGTTTTTTTTAAACAGTTGATGATTGTTTAAAAAGCTTATTTTTATATGAATGTTTGTTTAATTAGTAATTAAACAGATTCTTTCCATTCGATGTTCTCGACTGTGATGATATACCTTCTTTTTTTTTCTTGGGTCATGCTCATGTCAAATTCAACGGTGTTGCCTTTGACAACATTGAGTTGGTCGGGAAAGGTGATTAAAGTCTGCTTCCAATGGGTCGCCGGGAGGAAAGGAGAAGTTGAGAGCACTTCGCCCATGAGGGTGACTTCGAACCATAGACAAAGGGCATCGCACTGAGTCTGCTCTTTGTTCACGACAAGCCTGATTCTTTTCTTCAAATGCAAGAGATCCTCTTCATTCAACTTAGCGATGTCGAATTTCAAAATAGACATCGGCTCCGATACGATGCTGTCTTTTGTCATGTCTAGAGTGTCGATCATCGGCTTCCCATCGAACAGTGATCTCCATTCGCGGCCAAAATGCGACATATCAACGCCTAAGACATCTTCGTAAGTGCCTAACAGGCTTGGCGCTCTGGTCAGTGATACAAACAGCTCACAGGTATCGGGTATGAGTATGCCGTCCGGTTTGAGAAGACGGTGCTTGGCGTTGACCACACTTGAAAGCATGCCTTCGTGCAAGAGTGTAAACCCCATCCATTCTGAGACGATCACGTCTACTTTTTCGTCTAGTACGACATCCTCAACGGCGCTCTCCACTACCCGGATCACGTCTGTGAAGCCGTTTTCTTCTATAGTTGCTTTAAGTACTGGGATCATACCTTTGGCAGCTTCGACCGCATAGACTTTCCCGGCACCGCTTTTGGCGCAGAGGAGGGACAAAATCCCCGTCCCAGCTCCCAAATCCATCACAGTTTTATCCCTGAAGACGTGAGGGTTGTCGAGTATGGCTTTGCTGTAGGCTTCGCAGCGGCGCTTGTCTTCAAGCATTATACGGTGTACCTCGAGGTCCTCGTAACTCTCGAAATATCCGTCTGTACCTTTATCCATATCCATTATAAATTCAAAAATGAGAAAACTATATGAAACATAAATGATAACAAAACTGACAAAGCCACGTGCCAAACAAAAACCACAGTAAAACCTCCCAATTGATAAGAAGTCCTTATCGCCTCGCCACGTGTCACCAACTGTCATTTTTGCTCAAACGTCCTGCGAAAATTATTTGTTTTACAGGTAAAGCCTAATAAAATTATATAGTAGTTACAAATATATTTAGAGCTAATATAGAGATTCGTTACAAAACATAAATAGTTAATTAAAGAAACAACTGAACTTAAGGTTGGAACAAATGTATTTATTTGCGTAAATGGAGGAATATCGAGTATTCTGGAGGTAGTGTTAATGATTTGTGCTGTGTTTATGTAATTTATTTGCGTGAATGGGAGGTTTTATTTCCAACTACCCCGAGGAATAACGAGTATTCTGGGGTAAAGTGAATGAATGTGTAAATGTCATTTATTAGCGTGAATGAAGAAGTTTATCCCCAATTAACCCGAGAAATATCGAGTACTCTTTGGTAGAGTGAATGCTAACCATACTATCATGTTTTTATCTTGTTTCTGTTTATTTGCATTTGTCTTATTTTATCCACAATTGACGAGGGCCTGAGGTATAGAGAGGCTAGAAATATGACAAAGACAGGAGTGTGGTTATCGTTGTACCATAAAATATCATAACTCAGCTGGAGAAACAGAAAAAGAAATTGGTAGGATTAAAACGCAAAAAAGGTAAGAAAAGAAATGTAAAGCTAAGGACGAGAGTGCTGGTGATGACCCATGTAATTTGCCAATGCTAAAACAATAAACAAAAAATTGGAATTGGCCTTCAGATATATATCAATGCTAACCACACATAAAAATGTAATAATAATAATAACATAATATATAAAAATAGATTACCACATTAATTAAATACAACTTTTTTCCTAGAGTCTACAGTCCTTCATGTTTTTCTTGTACCAAAGATAAAAACCCATCAAAAAGGCTAAAAATTGATCACACCCAGGGAGTACAAAATTCACTGGGAATTGCGTAACACACGTATGTGATATATCCAAAATGCATTGAGGAGTCGGGTGGGCTTTTATTGCCTACGAGCACAAAACGAAAATACATCAGGAAATGTACCGAGTCATCTTTGTGCAGCAATAACCAGGAAGAGAGAGAATATATATATATATATATATATATATATATATATATAGAGAGAGAGAGAGAGAGAGAGGGAGTGAGTGGGAGAGAGATTGTAAGAGAGAGAAACAACTGAAAACNAGAGAGAGAGAGAGAGAGAGAGAGAGAGAGAGAGAGAGAGAGAGAGAGAAGAGTGAGAGAGAAACAACTGAAATCGAGAAAGAGAGAGAGAATCTGAAAAAGAATGTTAGTAAAAAGACAAAAAAAGACCAGGACCAAAGTAAAGTGAACCAATACCAATTCCACTAATTTCAAATATGTTAAAGTGTCCTTTGTCTATTTGCAGCATTATTTTATTTTATACATGAAACGTATGTTTATAAAATAACTTTGTACTATTTTAACAAAACTTCGAAATTAGGATAATTAACAAAACCTACACTTTAATTGTATAAAATAAAAATCTATTTGTAACTGGGTTTTCATTGGTCTAATGGTTAAATAAATTTAGAATTTTAAGTGATTCCCGGTTTATGACGTAACAGAACTGCGAGTTGAAGCTAGGTCTGTGCTGGAATGGGTCGACAAGGGCCAGAGCCAGACTCCAGTTTTGAAGGTAGCTCTGTTACACAAGTGTTATAAACCGTCTCTAAGCTTATTTCCGAGAGGTTACAATAAGGGGAAAATAAAATAAAATTAATTAAATAAAAAAATATATAACAATAGAAAAAAAAATAAAATAAAAAAAGCAGTTTAACTACAGATGAACGGACAGGTGTATGAGTGGAAAAGTGCATGAAATAAAGAGTTTCGATAAAATAGTGAACTGTGACTACAAGTGGTGTAAAAATCCCAGGATCCGCGGGTCGATTATGTGATTGGTCCCGATGCTGAGCGGAAGCGGGGAAAGCTCCAAGTCCCCGAAGGGCAAGGAGGAGAAGAAGTCGTCGAAGGAGGAGGCGAAGGGTCGCCACATCCCGAGCATAGTCGTGACGAGGGGTCGATCCGAGGCAAGGAGCAAGGCGAGGAAGAAGGACGATTTCATCGGGAGGACCCGCAGTTTCGGTGACGAGAGGCGAGGAGGGTTCAGGGGACGTGGGAAACGTCCGGACGACTACTCAGCTCGAAGGTTCCAGGAGAACAAGAAGACACATGAAACCAGCCAGTACAAAACGGGTAATCCATTGTTTTTAAATTTTTCAGTCTGATCGGTTATGTCATGAACATCGGGTCATATCTATCAAGCAAACATGCATCGGTCATGATAGGATGCAGTGGTGAACAATCGCAAACCTCTAACTTTTCAACCAACATGGCTACACAGCCTACCCTTTTCCCGCAGATGTGATATCAGTTTCTGATCGTATCACTAGTATGCTGGTAACTAAAATCTGACAAAATTAGACAGTCAGGACATCAAATATGACATCATTTCTGACTTGTCATATGATTGTCAAAAAGCAAACAGAATTTGAACTTAAGTCATCAAAATTTGTCCATTAGGATCTGACAGTTGGATTATTTAATATTTCATCTGTCGTTGATGTAAGATCAGACACAGATTAATACATTAGTGATATGTTTATATTATAAATATACATTTTTAATTGTTGAATTATGGTAAGAGACAATCTGATAATGTTAGACAGTCAGGACATCAAATCTGACATCAGTTAGCAAAAACAAACAAATTTTGTCCTTCAGACAACCAAATTAGACATTAGGATTAGGCTGTCAAACAATTAGGGGTCTTATCTGTCCCTGGTGTAAAATCAGACTTGGTTTTATACATGTGTGATATGTCTATAATATAAATATCAATTTTTAATGGTTGTGTGTCTGTAAGAAAAAAAAATCTGATGATATTAGACAGTCCAGACATCAAATCTGACAACAATTTTGACATATTCAACAGTTGGAAAAAAGGAAATAAATTTTGACCTTCATACATCCAAATTTGACAATAGGATTAGGTTGTTGGACAATTAGGTGTCTTATCCGACCCTGGTGTAAAATCAGGCTTGGTTTTATACATGTGTGATACGTCTGTGATATAAATATCAATTTTTAATGGTTGAGTGTTTGTAACAGAATAAAATCTGATAATAGTACAAAGGCAAGACATCAAATTTGACAACAGTTTTGGCATATTCAACAGTTGGGAAAAAAAGCAAACAAATTTTGACCCTCATACATCCAAATTTGACAATAGGATCAGACAGTTGGATTATTTGGTATTTAATCTGTCACTATACATGGATTAATACAGATATAATATGGCTATAATATAAATATCAATTTTTAATGGTTGTGTGTCTGTAAGAAAAAATCTGATAATATTAGAAAATCAAGACATCAAATCTGAAACAGTTTTGACACATTCAATAGTTGGAAAAAAAAGCAAATAAATTTTGACTTTCATACATCTAAATTTGGCCATAGGATTAGGTTGTCGGACAATTAGGGGTTTTATCTGAACCTGGTATAAAATCAGACATGGATTAATACATGTGAGATATGTTTATAATATAAGTTTATATTTTTAATGGTTGTATGATGGTAAGAGAATAAAAATTTGATGATATTAGACAAACAAGACATCAAATCTGACAATAGTTTTGACATATTCAACAGTAAGCAAAAAGCAAACAATTTTTGACCTTCAGAACTCTAAATTTGACAACAGGATCAGGTAGACAGTTAATGAGGTGTCTTATCTAACTCTGATGTAAGATTAGGCTTAGAGAAATCCATGTGTCATATAGTTATAAAAATTAATATATGATTTCAACAGTTAAGTGACAGTATAAGAATAAAATTTGACAGGATTAAACAGTCAGTACATAAAATCTGACATCAATTTTGACATTGCTTAATTGTCAAAAAAAAAAAAAAAAAAAAAAAAATTTAACAACCAAATTTGACAGTAGGATAAAACCATTGGAAAATTTGGGATCTAATCTGATGGAGATTTAAGATGAGACCTTGAGACATACAGTGTGCTATCAAATAAATATACATTTTCAAATGTTGGTCACAGTATAACAACCAAATCTTACAAGATTAAACAGGACATGGAATCTGAGAACACTTTTGACAACACAGAGTAGACATGGCATCAAATCAGAACTGTTTTGACTTGGTCTATGGTTGTCGAAAAACAAACAGATTTTGATGTTCTGACATCCAAATTTGATAATAAGATCAGACAATCGGATAATTTGGGATCTTGTCTGACCGTGATGTAACATTAAACTTTGAGAAATAGATGTCTGATATGAGTATAAAAATAATTATACATTTTCAATGATTGAATGACAGTAGGAGAACAAAATTTGACAAGATTAAACAGTCAGTTGAAATCTGCCAAAAACATTTGACTATTCAACAAAAAAACAAAGAAATGCTGAACTTAAGACTCCCAAATTATATACCTTGAACTACAACAAAATATATGTATAATATAATAATATATAACACTTTGGACTACATCAAATCTGTCAACAGTTTCAACATGACCAACGGTTGAAAAAAAAAAAAAAAAAAAAAATAGCTAGAGTAAGTTTGTTGAGCAGTTGAATTTATTATTGTTTGGAGAAGGGGGCGCGAAAAAAACAAAAAATCCAGGGCAATGGTTGGAATTGAACCTACGATCTGGGGTCTATGAGCCAATAGAGTCTAATACACCAACCACTTGTCTACGCTCTCAGATAATTTGGGATGTAATCTGACCCTGATCTTTGAGAAATATATGCAAGATATGTATATTCAAATAAATATAAATTTTGAATGGTTGGATGATGATAAAAGTAGAAAATCTGACAAGATTGGACAGTCAAGACATGGAATTTGATAACAGATTTGAAATGGTCTGTGGTTGTGAATTTTTTTTTTAATGTACTCGTGACAACCTAACTTGACAATAGGAAGTTGGATTCTGTCTGATTTGGGTTTATAAAATACAAATAATTTTTTTTTATTTACGACTGTTGAACATGTGAAAACTGCTGTCAGATTTGATGTCTTGACTGTCTTCTTTGATTGTCAAATTTTAGTGACTGTAGTACAAAGTATATATTTTTTTTCACTAACAATATGTCACAAATAATCAGGTGTTTGTATGATGATATCTGACTATCGGACACGGTTGTCAGATCAGCAAGAGAACAACACATCAGTCTGATTTACTGAAAATTCATGGAAAAAAAATTCTGGCCTTTAGGATGGTTTTAATTTTCAGTACTGCAACAAAAGTATTTTGTTGGGCACTTAGTAGTTAATGTTGTTAGGGATTATTGAACAGTGTATAGTATCAATTGAGGAAAAATTTTGTTCAAATCATCAAACTGATGGTTAGTTCTGTTCAAAATTTTAAAGTAATATTTAAACGCTTGGTAGAAAAGGTGTGATTTTAGGGAAATAAGCAGGGCAAGGCAGTGTGATTTATCCCAATTGACAAACTTGAGCTCTGCATAAAAGTTTTGGTCTACTAATCTTTAAATATTTTGTTATTTGTTTAATATTTTTGCTTTATGATGCAGACTATGTCCCGCTGGTGTATCTGCCCGAGGACTCGAGGATTTCAACCTGTCTCAGGCGCCTCGCACGCGAGGAGGATGAGAAAAAATTCACCTCCCTCTGCAAAATGCTGCAGGATTCTCTGTCACTCCCTGAGAATGCGGCTTACATCCATAGGTCGCTCGTAATGATACTAGAATCGCTTTTTGAGCTCATGTGCACCGGGATGACCCAGCAGTGCAGAAAATGGTCGGCGCAGACGCTTGGCCATGTCGGCTATGTCCTCGAAAAGGATTTCAACAGGTCTTGACAATTTTTGTTAGAATAACTGGATTTTATTGATCATTTTTTTATTTTTATAGATTCATGGATTGGATTTTTAGTAAATTTAATTCAGAAAAGAAAGATTGCAACAGAGTTCTGATCATGACAGCAGTTCTTGAAGTATTTTATTCTTTTTTTCTTCTTTGATTTTTTTTTTTAAAGTTAAGATTTAATGATTTTTATTACAGCTTTCAAAACTCGATAAAAAGGTTCCAAAACTTAATGAATATGCACAGGTACGTGTATTTAAAATATAATTTGAAATAAATCGGTTTTGATGTATTTAATTTTCAGCAATTGATGGCTGGAATTAGGGAAATAATGGAGATAACGGACGTCGGCGATATTTTCATGGTTACGACTGAAATAACGCTGACTCTGACCCACCGGTATCCGGAGACATTCACGCAATATTTCCACGACATGATCGACATCATAGTAGGCTGGCACATAGATCCGATGCAGACCCCTGCTGTCACGAAATGTGCGACACGTTCGCTAAAACGGCTCGCGCCGTACTGGCTTCAGGACATGTCCTTCACCGTCACCCTCCTCCAACAGTTCCTCGAGGATACGGACACATGCTTCGAGGAAATGGCAAGCCCTCAGGAGCTGTCCGAGGACGAAATTCAGATCTCGAACACGGACCAGCTCAGCAAAATCACATCTTTTATCTTGTAAAATCTGTCTTATATGTATAAAAAAAATTGTATATCTAATTTTTTATTTTTTTACATTATCGTTTCAAGAGTTTTCAAGTCTGTATTTAAAGGGTTGGATAAAAATATGGATCCAGCCGTTTGTCCCAGCGTAACTTGGGAATTCTTAGAGAAATCGTTGACTAAAGTTATCACTATTGTATTAAGAAGTTTGACTGTTACTGTTCACAGCAACCTAATAATTGCTGGTAAGTTTCAATTTTAACAGTCTACATATCTGTTTATAAATAAATTAAAAAAAAATATATATTTCAGGGAACAAATGTATAATATTAATACTTAATTTTTTAAATTCGGACTCTGATGAGGTGTACAGCGTCCTGTTGAATTACATATATACGCTTTTTTCGCTGAATGCTATGTCAAAAAAGGCTTTAGCATCATTGTTCAGACTTGTCGCAAAGGTTAGATTTTTTTATTTATAAAGACTTCTTAAGACGTTCTTATGCTGTTTTTAAAGATCTTAGATTCAATGCCGAGCAAGACAACACCTGAGTTTGTCGATACGCTGCTCAAACCGGACTCGATAGTCTTGAAAAAGAGGCTGTCCGTGATAGAGCTGGATGTACTCAAAGTTTATGAATCTTTGCTGCACCATTCCCAGCTGCCCATTTTGCTCTGCGCCTATGGGTAATTATTATTTGACAATTTTAAAAATAGTTTTTACCATTTTTTTTTCTGTTTCAGACATGTTGTCGCGGATTTAGATGCTGCGTTGCGAACGATCAAGCCGAACATGGAAACGCTGGTCATCGGTGAGAATAACCTGCATAAAAATACATCCTACGATAAAGAGATAGTCGAAGAGATTGTTATTTTTCTTTTAAGAGCTATCGCCGAATTAGGTATAAATTTTATTACTGTAATTATTTCGATATATAAGATCGGCATGGTTTTCCAGCTCAGGCGAATAATCCAGTTACTTCGCTTTTCACACTGAAGCCGACAATCTTCGACATTCTCGCCATCCACCTTCCGTCTGCTTTCAGGCCCGCGAGTTACCCAAAACTCCACATAGCTTACATGAAACTGCTCAAATCCCACTGCACGAGGTATTGAACGTCAGCAACGATATCTCGTCATTATTATAAAACCTTTTATTTTTTTAGGAATAATTATTTTGTCTCCTCGGCTAAGATTTTGGCACAAACGAGCAAAAGGCAGCACTTGGTGGATGCGCTTGGTATAGAAACGCCTCAGAGTTCTGCGCCATCTGGTACGCAGATGGTCACGATTATCAACTTGCTCATCGAGAACCTCGTCGACGTATGACTAATTTAAACCGTTGTGTAATTCCACTATATACATTTTTGTTTAAATTCCAGATCCTTGAAGAGAAGAACAAAATTTTTATAATGCAATGGGTAAACGAACTTCTTACCGTGACCAACCGCCAATACAAAAGCCTGTTAAGCTCAGTGGAGATGCTAGAGCTTGTCAAAGGGCTGTGCTATGCTTGTGCCGATTTCAGACCCAACCTCACACTCCAGGGTGTCGCTGTCCTCCAAAGCATCGTGACCAAATTTAAAGGATTATGGCCGGTGAATATTAACAAAAAATTATTTATATCATAAAAAAAATTAAGCAAGGACAGAGGATCTTGGATATTAAGAATATTTGTTGGTTTTTTTGATATTTCTCCACAATTTTTATCGCACAAATTTATTCTGGCTAAGGATCAACCATGATGATCAGTGATAATACTTCAGAGAAATCCCAAATGTATTCAGATTTCTTCCAGCCAGTATTTCAATATTGTGCCCTTGTGAATTTCAATTTCTTGTCTTTGTTTTTATCAAAGTCAAACTCTTTTAGGTTGCTGTTATGTTAGGGTTATAAGCAGGGAGAGGCAAGATGTTGAAAACAAACAAAAAGCGTTCATAATCTTGTTAAGATTGTTTTTAAAAATCACCCTTATTTTGAATTTTTGGAACAAAATTGTGTGTAGGGTGTTATGCTGCCAGTTTAATACTTATTACACACTCGATTTATGAGGTTTTAATTCTAGATAATCCAGTCAGTGAACTTATAGATCATGCTTCAGCATAATCTGAGTCAAAGCGTATTACGATGACTTTTTTATCTTCCACTTCAAACGTTTTCATACTTTTTTTTCTTCTGATTGTTACATTATTTTCAGCCTGAAATTATGAGTAAGCTGCTCGACCTGTGTATATATTTTATGAACTCATCCTGCCCTGAGATAAGGAAGAGATTCCATCTTTTGATGATGGCGTTACCATCACTGATCGTGACATTTTCAATCAACAACTGCGCTTCTGTAAGTTGAATTTTTATAATACGAATTGACAGAAGTTAACCTTTTTCTAAAAAATTATAGTACAAATTCAGTATGATGAACAAGCTGATGCTTAGAAATTATCAAGAAATGGCTCGGAGTATGACAGGAGAGATGACGGCCACGCGGTTCAAGCAGTTAATGAACTACATGCTCTTTGAGGAGAGCGTCGACCCGTATGTTTTATTTATTTATTTTGAATTTTATGCAATAAAAAACTTTTTTTTTGTTAAAGGGAGTTTAAATGGATGACAGAAATCCTAGCGAGCGGTTGGCCGGTGATGGAGCTCGGCTACCAGCACGGCTTAGAAGCGATGAACAGCCTCGGACTCACGACCGAATGGCTCGCTTTTCAAGCAGCGTGCCTCTGCAGGGACAGTAAGCTGCGCACCGCTCTCGGAAAACCACTTGGGACATTCACAGCCATCGAGGGTAACTGTTTTTTTACATGCTAATGCATTTTTAAAATACGTTGATTAGGTAAATTATTCAAAGAAAAAAAAAATCTGTTGAGAATTCAGCGGGAAATCTATTAGTTGTTAAATAATATAAATTTATAATTAAATAATAATAGTCTAATTGTTTCTTGTGTGTGTTTTTTAAAGTTGCTATTCGTGATCTCGCATTGGAGACAAAACTTAATAAAAACATGCTGAAGACCCCTGCGACGGGAAGGCGTGTAAGGATGCTCGTACAGTTTGTGGAGCAGCTTGAAAAAGCGCTTTATAACGCTGCAGAAGGGACAGCATCGGCTTTTCCCCTAATCACAAAAGTAATTGACACAATTGTAAAAAAAAAAATTATTAAATTGTGAGAAAAAAAATAAGTTGTTGAATAATTGTTACAGCAAGCCGTCAAGTCGTTTTTCTGTTTGAACCGTGGCTCCTGTTATGAGTGGTTCACAAGGATACGGTTTGCCATACTGGTCGTCTCGCTCCATTGCGGCCTCTCAGCCGCCTCCGTCCGGCACGGATTTGCCCTTTTGCAGTCACACTTGGACAACAACTCAACGAATGTAAGAATAATTTTTGAATTTTGTTAATTAATTATTACTAATAAATCTTTCTATTTATTTAGACACCTGAGTTTCAAAATATCCTGCTCAACGTCGGCTGGGCATTGGCAAATATGGGCGAGAAGGAGGCCATACAAGGCCTATACGAATGGGCCAAGAACACGGCCAATGTCAAAGAGCCAATCCTGGAACCCTTGATACACATGGCAGCAAGGAGGTAAAAAAAAATATTAAAAAATAATTTAAAAAATCACATATTTTTTTTAAAGGTACGAATCAGCAACAGAAGGGTTTGAATCTCTTGCCAAAGAAATTATGTCTAACTCTACGGAAACTGACAATAATGAAAGTTCCGACATAGCTCAACAAATCAAAAATAAGACTGAAATGAGAAAAATCTTCATAGCAGATCAAGTATTATTATTATTTTATAAAAAATGTATTATTAAAAAATCTATTGAATTTATTATTATTAATTATTTATTTTATACAGTTGACCGAGTCCTATCTTGCGTTGAACAACTGGCAGGATTTGCTGAATTGGAAAAAAACAGAATCAGATTTTCTCTCTAATGAAAATGGCTGTTCGACGAGGCGATATGTAAGTTAAAAGAATTATGCGCTGTTTGATTATTCAGTATTTTTTTTTTTTAATAGAAGCATGTCAGTTTGAACTTCGTCGAAACGATCGCCAAATTCGACGAAGGCGAGTATGAAGCGGCCAAAGAAATGTTTACGTGGAACGGCGATGATCGCGAGAGCCTCCTTACGATGGATAGATGCCGTTGGGATTACAACAACCTTCTTGAGGAGGTCGACTACATATTGAAATGTTCCCTGATCAAAAATCACAAACAGTGAGTCAGTATGAAACTTAATTTTTTAATTGTTTTTTATTAAGTTTATTTTTTAGCTTGAATTCGAGAGCGAAGTACGACGAGGCGCAATCCTTGGCTGAGAGCATTATTGAGGAGTGCGTCAAAGATTCACCCTCGGAACTGCTTGGTAGAGCGGCGTTACTTAAATTCACATCATATTCCCTTTTGAACAGTACCAATTACGTCGTATCACAGGTATTAAGGGAAATTAATTTTGAGAAATGCAGATGGTTTTTATTGAATGTTCCATTTTAGTTCTACGGAGGCGATTATTGGTGGAAAAAATGCATCAAATCGCCTGAAATGGAACGTGCCGTTTGGTGGGGCAATGCGCTCAACAAGATGAAAAAAGGGGAGCCGTCTCGCGAGTCGAAAAACTTTATACTTCAGGTACTAATTTTATTTATTTTTTAATTTACCATGAATGTGCTTGAACATTTTGTAATTTTTCAGTGCGTGAAAGTGGCCAGGAAGACTGGCAATTTAAAATACGCGACACGAGTATTACTCTTGCATTTGAAATCGACAGACAAGACTCTCAAAGATGTGGCAGAAAATTACATTTCAGCGACACCGAAAGATTTTACTTCGCATGAAGCTATGATACAAGTTTCTAAATTAATGAAAAAGTGATTTAAAAAAAAAAGAAATTATTTGAGAGAAATGCTAAATATATTTATATTTTCTTTGTCTTAAGGTGTGGGCAGAGCAGACAGGCTATGAGATTATCTGCGACAGTAGCTTTGAGGCTGCAAGAGTCGTCAATGCCCGAGTTGATAATGCTGAGCTCGAAAGTGCTGAGAAACATCGCCGCTGAATTCAAGACTGGGAAATCTTCCGAGCTTAAGTGTCCTGAACTCGATAAGGTCTTTGAGTATGAACAGACGAATGGATTCGGCTCTCATTTTGAAGATTTGAATTGTAAATTTTATTTATTTTAATTTATAACTTTTATTAAATTTTTTTTTTCTTTTAGGTTTTAGGAAAGTATCGGAGGACTGCAGTGGTTCAAACGATGAAGAACTCCTGACTGGGCGGCTCCTGCGCCTCTCGCTTAGTATCTGGCCGATGTCGAGCAAATCATGGGAGCGGCTGGCTGCCTGGGCTTACGCTGGTGGTGTCAAAGAGTCGGCAAAAGGGATCGCTAGCACGCCGGAAGAAAGGGCGGCGCTCGAGTCCGAACTGCCGCAGGGCGTGACGGTCCAAGCTGTGAGCAATATGCTCGCGGCGTACCACTCGCACGAAGTCGACGTCGACACTGTCTCATCTGAAATGATCGAGCAGCAGTTACGAGAGCTGGGGACATTTTCAAACGAACAGATCAAAAGCCTTCTTGACATTTGGAAAAAGACTCACTCCAGGGTCTATACCTACTTCAGACTTTCAGCCTACTCATACTTCAGATACATTCAAATTTCTGAATATCATGAGGTACGTTGCCATTACAGTTGAGAATTAATTATAATACATCAACCTAAATATAATAACTTTTGTTATGTTTAAATACAATAAAATAGTAGATAAAGTTAGAATCTTCACAAAGAGAAAAACTTGTGCTTCACACTTGCAAATTTTTCTGCTTCACAGAAAAACATTGAATCATGGGGAGGAAAACAGTTTTTTATTTTGTTTTATTTTTTATTTTATTGTTTTATTATTATTATTTTGAAATGGGGGTATTTCAACTATGAGGTTATATGAAACTATATAAAGGTTTAAAGTTTTTTTTAATGGGGGCGCCAGTGGCCACAACGGTTTAGGTGTTGACACGACGCTAATCACAATAAGGTGAAGGTCACGGGTTTGAATCCAGTGGCTCTGCATTCAAATCTGACATATTTACAAATGGGCTTTTTTTTCTCAAAAACTTACTTATACCCTCAATAGAATAATAAATAATTAATTCACTTATAAGAATTTATTGGGTTGGTATAAAATTAATGCAGGTTTAGAAAATTTCTTTTATTTTCACAGGTGCTTGTCGTGTAAACAAAGCTAAATCCTCAAATCTAATTTATGGAACATAATAAATACTTTTATCTTTTATACAAAATATTTTAGTTTATATTGAATTTTATAAAAGTGAGGACTTGTGAAATTAAATATTAATTTAAACTTGGGTGAAGTGTGGCCCAAACTGTGTGTAACATCAATATAATTTGGGGGGGGGGGAGGGAAGCATTAGCGAATGCATGGTGCAGCGATGGATTCAGAGATTTCTTCTTGGAGATGTTGATCTCGAAGGCAGGGAAGATCACATATGTCGCAATGCTAACCCTGCAAATATTTTACTGCACTGTCCACATTCACCCGACCTCTCGCGTACGGACTTCCACTTTTTCCGGGCATTTTGATCACTTCTTGAGGGATAAAATGTTTAGAGAATGCGATGAAGTCGAAAACACTTTATTGTGAGTTGAAATAAAGATTTTTATGTCAGCGGGATAAAAGCGCTTATTACACGTTGGCAAAGATATATAGATTGTGATGGAAAGTATTTCGAATAAATTTTCTTTATTTTATAAAAATTAAAAATAATTTTGACCCCCTTTTCAAAAATTTTATTATGTTTGCACAAGCCCAATACAATTTACACTGCCTTAAATCAGTTGAATAGGCTAAACCAGCAATGCTCTTCCGCATTGCATAAGTGTTGGGCTTTAGCGCCGTCTAGTTCAAGATCTTTCTATTGTTTTTATTTTTTATTTTTTAATTTAATTTAATTAATTTATTTTTTTACTAGTTTATTTCAATTACAAGGTTATACAGGGTGTCCCAGTTCCTTCTGATGAAACTCAGGGAATCGATTCTACTCTTCGTTTGGAGCAAAAAATGCTCAGGAGAAAATTTTCGGAAAGTTCTCTATATTGAAGATATTCGTCAATTTAGGTTTTTTCAACTTTTCACTATCTTACCACATAAAAACGCTTACAACTTCCAAAATGTTGAGACTACAATAAATTCAATTACACATTTGAAAGAACGCTAAATTTGCTGTAAGATACTTCTATTTGCAATTATCTGAATGATTGCATGATTGCACATTCTACTGAGGTTACAAAAAATGCCTACAACTTGTCAAATTTCACAAAAACTTCTTCATCTAATATGCTTCACGTTGATTTTTCAACTCTACTAGAACATTATTTAAAAACCTGGATATATCAACAAGTTGTAGGTATTTTTTTGTAACCTCAGTAGAACGTGCAATCATGCATTAATCAATTAATTCATTTTAAATTTTATAATTTTGACATGTTCCAACTGATATTGGCTAACATTTTATGTCATTCAGATTATTGCAAATAAAAGTTAAAGTTAAAAAAGGGGGAAGAACATTTCCTAGAATCATTAGGCAGCTGAGGTTACTTTTGCATACTGTCCACTATAACCGATAGTTTCAAATGTTTCCCTAAGTTTTTTCCTTATGGCATTTAACCGGACTAAAGGTTTTGTACATTATAATTGGTCGTTCCTTATAACCAGTATCGTTATAAACAATTTATACTGTATTTAGAACTCCTAACAGTCACTGACCCAAATCTCATTTTGGTGAATTATTTGAAAAAATCATCACTCTCATTTCTTCTCATCCCTTAAACAATCCAAATTCATTATTTTATTTAGTTATAGTTTATTTACTTTTTAGTTGCTTTAAATACTTGAAAAACATATATTTAGAACTTCCTACAGTCGCCTTCTTTATACACTGCCTTAAATCAATTGAATAGGCTAAACCAGCAAATTTATTCATTATTTTCTTTACCTAGTTTATTTATTTTTTGAGTTGCTTTGGGTAGTTTAAAATCATATATTTAGAACTCTGAACAGTCGCCGACCCAGATGTGAATTCCTGAAAAAAAATCCACATTCCCAACGCTTCTAACCCATAAAAAAATCCATATCCATTATTTCCTTTAGTTACATAGTTTATTTACTTTTTTTTGTGTTGCTTAGGGTAGTTTAAAACCATATATTTAGAACTCCAAACAGTCGCCAAGCCAAAGCTCATTTGGGCAAATTATCAGAATAAATCTACACTATCAATTCTTCATATACCATAAAAATTTAGGTTCATTATTTTCTTTAGTTACTTTTTTATTCTCTGGGCAGTAGAAAAACATATATTTCGAACTCTTAACAATCACCTACCCAAAGCTCATTTTAGGAGAATTCTTGGAAATTTCAACTCTTGTCATACCATAAAAATTATATATTTAGTTATATATAGTTTCAAAACATATATTTAGAACAGTCATCGACCCAGATGTGAATTCTTGCAAAAAAAAAATCCGCACTCTCAATTCTTCACATACCATAAAAATTTTGGTTCACTGTTTTCTTTAGATATTTAGTTTATTTACGTTTTTGATTGCTTTGGATAGCTGAAAACCATAATTTAAAACTCCTAAAAGTCATTGACTCAAAGCCCATTTTGGTAAATTCTTAGAAAAAAATTCACTTTCTCAATTCTTCTCATCTCATAAAAAATCCAAAAAATTTTTTAGTTACTATGGATAGTCTAAAAACATATATTTAGAACTCTGAACAGCCACTGAATCAAAACTCATTTTCTCACAGTTCTCACTCTTATCTCTTCTCATTCCTTTAAAAAAAATTCATTATTTCCTTTAGTAACTTTTTTTATTTTTTAGGCAGTAGAAAAACATATATTTAGCACTCATAATTATAAACATCCACACTTTCAACTCTTCTCTTCAAATAAAGATCAGTTTTATTATTTCCTTTAATTACTTAATTTATTTACTTTTTAATTGCTTTGAGTAGTTTAAAAACACATATTTACCACTCTTAACAGTAGCTGACCCAAAGCTCAATTTGGTAAATTATCGGAAAAAATTCACACTTAACTCTTCACATACTATAAAAATTTATATTAATTATTTTATATAGTTAGTTTATTTACTTTTTGAATGAATGAAAAAAGAACTTTATTTAATATATAATTAATTCATTTATAAGAATTACAATATTGCCTTAAATCAATTGAATAGGCTAAACCTGCAACGCTCATCTACATTGCATAAGTGTTGGACCCTAGCGCCGTCCAGTCCAAGATCTTTTAATTGTTTTTTATTTATTTTTATTTTATTTTTTAATGATGGTATTTCAACTATGAGGTTATAGGAACCTTCGGGGTGCAAGTGTTTGTGAAAAAAATTAAATATCGGGTTTGAAAGCAGGGTCGCTTGATTTGAACCCAGGACTTTTACCTTACAGTGATGAGCACCGTGTCAACGCCTAAACTGTTGCGGCCATCAACACCCTAACCCTATTTTTAACTGTACCTAACACAGTCTGTACCCTAACACCTGTCATTAATCCTAACCCTAACCCTACCTAATCTAGCCTAACCTAACCCAACCCAACCTACATGCACTCATCGGTAATGCAGATTTGTGTATGTACAAACATATCTACATTAAAAAATATAATTGTTGTAATTTTATTGCAGGAGGATAATGTGATTGTAACAGCGACGCTTAGATTATTAAGGCTCATCGTCAGACATGCGACAGAGTTGCAACGGGTCGTCGAAAACGGTCTTTCCACAACTCCGACTGCTCCGTGGATCGCCATCGTCCCTCAGCTGTTTTCCAGGCTGAACCACCCGGAGCCTTATGTCAGGAAGAGGGTTTCCGAGCTCCTTATAAGAATCGGAAACGACTCCCCTCATCTTATAACATTCCCAGCTATAGTCGGTTCAGGATCGAATACCATGCCTACAACTAGTTAGTTTCAAAATTTTAAATATTTTATAATAATAATTAATTAAGGTTTTTAGTTGAGAGTTTTTGTTAGTTTTCATCTCAACTAAAAACCTTAATTAATTGTCATATATTAATTGGTCAAGCGGACCACAAAATTAGTGAATTAATATTTTATAATATTGAATTTTTATGGAATTTTGTTTTAATAGAGTTGTTGACGATTATGAAATATGACGACAAGAGTAAAGTTAAAGGACATGAAGAGGGTGAGGAGGAAAACGACGAAGAGGAAGAGGTTGATGATGACGATGATGATGGAAATGATGATGAGATGAAGGTGCCAAATGAAAAAGCGGCTGTTCTTGAAAACAGTTTTGGTCTCATACTCGAAGCGCTTTCGAGAAAGTACGGCGAGGAGATAAACCAGGTCAAGACGCTTATAGCCGAACTGAGACGTATTACGCTCCTCTGGGACGAGCTGTGGCTAGGCACGCTCAACCAGCACCAGCCAGACATAAGCCGAAGGTTCACACAGCTCGGCAACGAGGTGAAATGCACCGAAACGAATTTCAACCTTTCTCAAGAAACAAAACAATTCATAATCGCTGAAAAATACAGGCTGATACTTAAACCAGTATGTTTATCTTTTTTTTTTCTTTTTCTGAACTATTAACTAATTTTCATTTCATAGCTGTTATTTGTGTTGGAACAATTGCGTGCAATAACTTTTGTTACTCCTGAGACACCTCATGAAAAGAATTTCCAAGAAAAATATGGTAAAGATTTTATTATATATTTAAATAAAAAAATATTTTAACAAACTTATATACGTTTTAATAGCGAAAGACATTGAGAATGTTTTGACCAAGTTGAAACAGCCTGATGATCCAAGGGACCCAAATGGTGCATTGCAAGCTCTTGGTGTTTTGCAGAGCAGTCTTCAGGCGAGTTCGTGCTCTGGTCGCCGTGGCGGTGGGCAGCTCTCAATGAAGGACATATCGCCAGCACTTGGTAAACTGAAATTGTCTAAAATTGCTATGCCGGGTGTTGTACGAGATCCGGCGACCATCAAATCCATCGCTGATACGGTCATAGTCCTCCCATCCAACACCAAACCTAAAAAACTAGTCTTTAACGGGTCAAACGGTTTAAAGTATGTTTAAAAATTAAAAAATTATGTTTTTTATATATAGGCTGCTAATTAAATTTTATTTTATTTTTAAAGGTATACATACCTTTTTAAAGGACTTGAAGATTTGCACCTTGATGAAAGGATCATGCAGTTTCTGTCGATAGCCAATTACATGTTAAAAGAGACAAGCCTGAGGGCGCACCATTACTCGGTCGTTCCTCTTGGGCCTAGATCGGGTCTGATAAGCTGGGTTGAGAACGTCACACCGATTTTTACGCTTTATAAAAAATGGCAGGAGCGAGAAGCCGCCAATGATTCGACAGAAAGTAAGACAAATCATAATTTTACAATAACGCTGTGTTAAAAAACAATGTATATTTTCAGCAAATTCTGTTATGAGACCTTCGGCGTTGTTCTACTCGAAATTAGGGCCGATTTTGAAAGATGCTGGCATCACGAGTATCAATCAAGTCCAGAGGAACAAATGGCCACTTTGGGCCCTTAAAAAATGCTTAACTGAGCTTATGCATTGCACCCCAACATACCTACTGTCTAAGTAAGCAATTAAAAAAAAAGAAAGGTTTTTGGAATTTTATTTTTGCTGCTTTTCTTTTCAGGGAGCTTTGGTGCTTCAGCATCAACGCAGCCCACTGGTGGAACATAACAAAATTGTATTCATCGTCTTTGGCAGTTATGTCGATGATAGGCTATATCATCGGACTCGGAGACCGCCACCTCGACAACGTCCTTGTCAATCTGAAGACAGGAGAGGTGCGTCTTTTATTAATAATAATAAAAAAAAAGTGGTGTAAGTAATTTATAATTTTTGTTTGTTTGCAGGTCGTACATATAGACTACAACATCTGCTTTGAAAAAGGCAAGACGCTGAGGGTACCTGAAAAAGTACCTTTCAGGCTCACGCAAAACCTGAGAGCAGCGCTCGGCGTCACAGGAATCGAGGTTAGTGAAGTTAATTTTTTTCCCCACATAAAATCCAGGTTAGAAATAAATTAGAAACATCTTCGTTATACACTTTATATTTAAACATTTATAGTAAATTTTAGTGATTCACTTTATGGAATTACATTTACAATAAAAATTAGAATGGAAAATCACAGATAAAAGGAAAACGTCTTGATTAAAACATCTCAATCGGTTGAACGAGAGTACAAACTTTTCCTGTCTCTTCCCCCAAAAATCACGGAATTTGTTTTAACACACTCTTCTATACGATATTCAAGATGTTTATCATGCATTAACATTTATTATTTTAATTGAATAAAGCTTGCACCACAGTTTGTAACAAACACCGACGTTAATTTACAACTTTTCGGGGAATTTCAATCGAAAACATCTTTCATAGATTCTATATAAAAAACATTTATAGTAAACATGGTTTACTTCTTCGATATACAATGAAAAGTAGATTGGAAATCACAGTTAAAAGGAAAAACGTCTATACCAAGGGGGAAAATTCTGTCCCCCTGATTTCCCGAACCTTCGCGCCTTTCCTGCCTCTAGCCTCGAATCACAGATTTGTCACAGCTTAACGCACTCTTTTTCCCTTCTGGTATCCTCAAGAAATTAAAAAGTAAAATAAAATTGTAGGGGAAGCTTTTAAGCCTGGGCTTTTATCACGTAGAAGGGAAAAAAGCTCTACTACTTTTTTTATTATTATTAATTTTTTTTCTAAAAGAGAAAGTATTTCTTTATATAATTGTACTTTTATGAAATATTCCTACTTTGCTTTGAAAAACTTATTAACTTTTCTTCTGCTTTGTTCGTTTCTTTCTCTCTTTTTTAACTTTACCATGAGAATAATTGAAATATAAATAAAATTAAGAAGAACCTTGCAAACTATTTTGATCATGATTTGCCCGATCAGCAAGTATAAATAAACTAGCACTGAAGTATTACCAAAAAAAAGTGTTTAAAGTGGTCCACTTTTGATTTCAAATAGTTAAAATTGTCATTTTTTTATATCCAAATTAAAACAATAAGTTCACAGCCACTTTTCACTACAAACGTCTGGTTTTGTTTTTCACAATTCATAAAACTATAAAAAGTATTTGGCTTTAAACTTGGGTCTGTGGAGCTCCGAAGTTCTTGTTCCCAGCTATGGTGACGACGCTCGCCTGGTGCTTTCCCTTGCATTTGAGCAGGAGGTGTACTGCCTCCTTGAACTCTGCGTTCTTCCAGGCGTAGATGAGCGGGTTGATCGCCGAACTGCTCAATGCCAAACAGAGCACCGCCTTGTAAACTGACGACGATATCCACTGCTTGTAACCCGCCGCCTGGGCACAAGCGACGCCCAGGAAAGGCAACCAGCATATGGTGAAGCAGCCCATCACGAGCAGAACGACCTGAAAAGATGGCCTGCACTGGTGGCAGATGTTCGTCCTTCTGAGCTTTTCTGCTTGGATCACCACCTCCTTCCATATGCGCGTATATATTGCGATCATCACTGCCCAAATTATTAAGAATGCAGGAAGAAGTACTGCTATCAAAAAGTACCTTGGGAGTACCTAAAATAAAATATTATTAGCTTTTTGCTTTATTTTTGTTGCTTTGCCGACTCACCTGGCCTAATTCGCAGACAGATGCTTTTTCCCAATTGTTCCAATATATAGGAACAGTGCTCATCAAAATCGCATTGAAAAGAGCAAGCGCCAGCACCTTCCAAACGACCCTGAAAACAAGTTAAAATAAGAATTAGCAAATAAATTAAAAACAGAAAAACAAATTAAAATACCTTTTAGTCATCAATGTCTCATACTTAAAAGGATGGATGATGGCGAGGTACCTGTCAAAAGCTATAGCTGTCACATTCAATATTGAGCAGCAACAGGCCAACAGGACAAAAACAAACCTGAAACCAACGTTTTTTGAAATTCTGCTCCAAAATCACAGTATATTTCTTTATTGAATAAATTACCTCAGTATGCAGGTGGTCTTGTTGACAGAGAGCTGCGGGAAGATTGTGAAAGCCATGTGGTAGGGTAGTGTGAGCCCGACGAGGGTGTCTGTGAGGGCAAGGCTCAGTACAAAACGGTTCGAAATGAGCTTTGAGCTTTTTGAAAGCACATAGACTGTAAAGAGGTTGCCACAGAGGATGACGACAAACAGGAGGGAATCCACTCCGACCCAGGCCCACTGTTCGGCGGTGTGGTGCCCCGCAAGGCATTCAGTGTCGTTTTTCTTGCACATCTAAAATACCTAATTGGCCAAGAGTTGGAATGCGAACATTTTGACTTGTTCTTCTTCTTCAGTTATTTTCAGTTCCTCTTGCCCTCTGAGTTTTCTTCTGTTGTGCTTTCTTCTCCTTCCATCTAAAAGCAAGAATTCAATTCAAAAACACAATTAAGGCTGCCATCCAACCAATCTAACCATCTATCGAACTATCTGTCTGTCTTTTTGTTTCTTTATCTATCTATCTGTCAATCTTTCTATCTGTATATTTATCTATCTACCTACCCATGTACGTATCTATTTGTAGTTGTCCCTCTGCCTCTCTGTTTCTCTATCTATCTGTCTATTCATCTATCTACCTACTATGTACCTATCAATCTGTCAATCTTTCTATCTACCTATTCATTTACCTACCTACTTATCTATCTACCTTCCCAAGTACTATCTATCTGTCTATCTACTAATCTACATTCATACCTACTTATCTCTCTATCTATTTGTCTATCTAGCTATCTGTCCAACTATCTGTTTCTCTTTATATCTATCTTTCTATTTACCTATCCATCTATCTAACTACTATATATCTATCTATTAATCTACGTATCTATCTATCTGTATATCTAAATACTATCTATCTATCTTATCTATCCATCTATCTAAACATATATCCATCCATCTATCTATCTATCTATCTGGGAATCTATCTATCTATCTACCTACCTATCCATCTATTGTATCTATATGTGTATCTAATTACTAATTATCTATCTGTGTATCTATTCATTAACTATCTATCCATTCATCAATCTATTTCTCTCTCTCTTACATGTCTTTATATTTTTTTATCTATCTACCAGTTAATCTTTCTATCATACTAATTATTTATCTACCTATCTGCTTATTTATCTATGTGTCTATCTATCGAACAGTATATATGCCTATTTGTCTATCTATCCGTCTATCTGTTTATCTGACTACTTCTCTATCTTTACCTATCTGTGTATCTATCTATATGTATATCTGTCTATCTGTTTATATATTTATCTATCTGTCAATATTTCTCTGTACATTTTATTTATCTGCCTTTATATCGGTTATCTCTTAACCCAGTCAAATTTGTTTCTTTTTATGTAAAGTTTGTACAAAGTCGAATTTTAAAAGGAGATACGGATTTTTTTAGGGCATCTTGAACCTTTTTAATAGTTTACAATTTACAAGATTTAATAATGATCGCTAAAAATTAATATATATGTCTACACTCATACGTGCAGCCTTTTGATGGGAATATCAATTTCTAACGCAAAAACAGTGTGTTTAACAAAAATAATTTATCCGTAAGTTATCTGTGTGCGTTTTACAACAGTTCCGGTGAGATTAGTTGAGAAACGACTGACCTTGCGTAAAAGAAGAGTTAAAAAATTGCGGAAAATGTCCCACTGAAAAGTGCAAAAAAAAAGGTAAGACTGTAAAATAATAAATTCAGACACTGATTTTGGTCGCGTTCCGGCGAAATGTTAAATATAAAGTGTTTATAGACTCTAGAAAAAAAGCTAGAAAAAAAAGCAGAATTTTTTAACATTTATTTTATACGTGTATATATGTGTAAAACCTCATTTTTCTCATATCGCTGCATTTATTTGGCTTTTCTTAGGACAATTAATAAATAGGCGCATCCTTTTGAGTGTGGGGCAAGGGAGGCCGGGGTATTATTGATTTTCCCAGTGAGTACTACGGTAGTAACCAAGGGGGATGTTAACCCCCCCGTCGCGTAGTAAATACGGACCCATACCCACTTCAAACTTTACTCACTCCTTGACGATTGGTAATTGTGGGGGAAAAATTGCCCCCCATGAGTCATTTTCATCTGACTGACCTCGTCTGAACGGGTACAAACCGGGTTCAACAAGTGGCCCTTTGCTCGCGGTGATTCCATGCCAATTTCCCCACCCATTGTGCTTATTGTTCTTTACATATTTGATCTTGATTAACAATTTCAACGGGCAGAAATCAATCTAACTGCGACACCTAAAGAACACTTTAAAAAATCATAATACATTTTAAAATAGGAAAAAAAGAAGGATATATATGTAATTATATTTCTATAATGGACAGATAGACCAAAAAGAAGGAAAAAAAAACACATAAACACTGTACTTTATGCGGTTTATGCTTCGGTCTCACCAAGGATGATCAATAATTCATACAAACATTTTTTTACACTCTACTAATTGGGATAATGTTTCTTGGGCAATATACGTTTTTTTCTCATTAACTTTCACCCTCAACAAATTCCTCATAATAGACTATACGTTAAAGTATGTAATTACTTTTTAAAAAATAATTTTTTTCTGCCTCTAACTTATTCTTACTAAGGATCCTTGTAAAGATACATTTTTTAACTTTTCACTTTAGAAGATCTTGTCACAGGATATTTTCTTTCATTTTCAGTTTTTACAAGCTAAATTACTTCGCTGTTTGTTTTTCTTTCTCTGGACTCGACTCGTTTTTACAAATAATACTTTAGATTTAACTTTTTTCTTAACATTCCGTTTAGAAGTTTCTTAATTAAAAATATTTAAGATAAAAATCATTCTTCATTTTTACTTTTTACAAATTAAACTACTTCGCTCTTTTTTTTCTTGCTCGGATCTCGACTCATTCTTACCAAGAATTCTTAAAAAAATAACTTTTTTCTCAACTTTCCGTTTAGACGTTTCTTAATTAAAAATACTTTAAGATAAAAATCATTCTTCATTTTTACTTTTTACAAATTAAACTACTTCGTTCTTTTTTTTCTTGCTCCGATCTCGACTCATTCTTACCAAGAATGCTTAAAAAATAACTTTGTCCTTAACTTTCTGTTTAGAGATTTCTTCATAATTAATTATACTTTAAGGTAAAGATTTTCGGTTTAAGTTATTTTAACTATTGAAGAATTATCATAAGCTAATCCGTTAAGATGGGCGACCGGATGTAATGAAAGATTAAAAAATTATGTAAAGAGGTGGCCGTAAGATATATCGTTGAGGAACTCCTGATTTGATGTCTTTAAATTTGCGAACCGTCTTTTATGTCGCACTGAGTCCTGCTTAAAAGATAAGGTTGCAGGTGTTCAAAGGAATTTTTTTGAGAAATTTTAGCTCTGATTTTATTAGCAAACAGGTGTGGGACTTAGTTCAATAAATATATCGGTCGATTTTTTTAAATCAGAAACCAAAGTAGAAGTTACTGAACGGAGAATTTTTCTCAAAGGACCTTCTCCTTCTTTGTTCTTGAACCAAGAATTCTTGAAACAATTTCTTTTTCCTTAACTTTATCGATAGGAAGTAACTTCATCGTTCAAGAATACCTTACGATAGAGTACGTTTTTCCTCATACAAATTTCTCATTTCTCTTTTCTTGACTCCTTCTCATCAAGAATTCTTTAAAAATTATTATTCCTTTAAATTTCCTTTTAGAAGTTTCTTCATCACTCAAAAACTGAGACATTTCCTTCATTTTCATTTTTAACAAGCTAAAAGCATTTCTTTGGTTTTATTTTCTCTGTTCTTGTTTCATTGTTACAAAGAATCGTTAAATACCTTTTTTCTCTTTAACTTTTCCCTTTGGAAGCTCCTTTGTAAATAAATGTACCTTAAGGTCTTTTTAATTTTTATTTCTACAACATAAGTATTTGTTGTTTTCTCTGTTCTTACTCATTTTATCAATAATTCTTTTAAAAAAAATTATCCTTTCATTCACGTTTTATTTTACAAGTTTCTTAAGCACGCAAAAACAGCTTAAAAAGGAGACCTTTTTCCTTAATTTTCACTTTTTATAAACCAAACTCGGTTTTTTTGATTTGGTTTTTCCTGTTCTTGACTCATTGTAACGAAGAATCGTTAAACAAATTTTCCTCTCTAACTTTTCCCTTTATAACTTTCTTTATAATGAAATATACCTATTTTTTCTTCATTTTTACTTTTTTTATGATAAACTAATCAGCTCTTTGTAGTTTTCTTCTCTCTTTCTTATGAGTAATTCTCATGAAAAAGTACGAAATGCTTTTTTCTTTATTCGATCAGTTTTTAATTTATTCAGTCATATGAAATGTTAAAGGGAACTTTTTTTCATTTTCACTTGGTACAAGCTAAACTATTCGGCTTTTTTCCTGCCCTGTCCATGACTGATTCTCGTGGAAAATCTTGATAAAGATACATCTAAAGGAACCTTAAAACCTATGAACTTTTATATTATTTTTTCCTTTTAACGAGTTAAACTACTCAGAACTTGGATTTTTTCATGTTCCTGATTTATTGTAATAAACAACTCGATAAAGATACATTTTTCTTTGTCTTGTTTCTGATTCATTCTCACCAAGGGCCTTGATGGATCTTATTTCTCTTGTCTTTCACCTTCAGATGTTGCTCCATAATCAAATATTTGTCCCTAATTTTCTTTTTTTTACTAGATAATTAAAAAAATTGATAATAGTACCTTTTTCAAACTTTCTGAGTTTTTCTATTCGCATTCTGTTCCTAGAACACGTTAATTTGATTCTTTCCTGTTTGCCACTATAATTATTCTCGTAGAAGGCTAATAATTAAATTTAAATTTAAATTCTTTTACTGTTTGGCCCGATACACGCTTCCCCGCCGTGCGGTTCCCCTATTGTATTCTCTTGGGGGGTTTTCACACGACCTCCGTGATTCGATTGACCTGCCCCCCAGGTGTCCGATTTATTTTCTTCTTTTTTTCCCCCAATTTTAACCGACAACAAGAAAAAAAGAACAAATGAGGAAAATCTACCTTAGTAAAAGGAAGTTTTACAAGCTTTTTCCCAAGATAAACTACAATGGGGACGTACTCATTGCCTATTTTTCTGTTTCCGTCTCATCGGGCACCAAGGGCGAACAATATGTTTTTGTCTTCTAATAAGGAACAATTCAACTTAGACTAGTTCGGCCGAAATGAAATAAAAAGTAAGAAGTTCAACAACAAATGAAATATATGTTGAGGTCCTGTTCAACTAACATGTTTTATGTATATCTGATATCGTGCAATAATTTCGCCATTGTAACTTGATATCTTCATTAAAGTTAAACCTTTAGACATGTCTTTGTTATCAATTATATCTTAAAAAAGTTAGTTTTATATGTCT